CATACATACATACATACATACATACATACATGTAATTCATCTAGAGTTGATCAATAAAAACTGGAATGAACTGACAACTCACCATTAAGATAAAGATGATTATGAGTAGCAACAAGATGGCAGCGGCTAGTACTAAAAGGGCAATACCCCATCCAGGTACCCTCTCATTGCTGCTGCCACCTGACGTCATAGGGTCGCTGGGCTTTCCACTTGAAACAGAATCTGTGTGATTGCCGCGTGGATTCACAGTGGTCGCGATGTTCACCGGAGCGTGTGTGGGACTTTCTCTCCAGCCTGTTGTATAACTGCCACCACTGCTTCCTGTTTTCATGGTGGTTGGAACCAGTATGGTGCCATTCGTAGAAGTGTTTGTCTTGCTTGAAGTTGTTGTTGCAGAATGTTTGGTTGTAGTTGAGGTGAGTGCTGGATGTGCAGCGGTAGTCGCAGATGTTGGGGTTGTTGTAGTTGCAAGTTTTGTAGTTCTGGCAGCTGTTCTGGTCGATTTGGTTGTAGCTCCGAATGCTGTGCTATTTGCGGTATGTGTTGTCTGTGTAGCTGTGCGTAATGTGGTAGTTTCAGTTTTAGCTGCAATGGGTATTGTTCTTGTTGTGGCAGTAGGTATTGCTAATGTTGTTGTAGGAGTTGTAGTCAGTAATGTAGGTGTAATCGAGTTTTTAGGAGTTACTGTCGTGTAAGTTGTTGCGGTTGTTTTAGTAGGAGTTGTAGTTGTCGAAGGTAACAAAGTTGTAGTAGAGGCCGTTGTAGTAGGTGTTGTGGTTGTTGTTGTAGGAGTTGTCAAAGGTAATGTAGTTGTAGTAGAGGTTGTTGTAGTAGGTGTTGTAGTAGTTAATGTAGTATGAGTTGTTGTTGTAGGAGTTGTTGTTGATGGTAATGTAGTCGTAGTAAAGGTTGTTGGAGTAGGTGTTGTGGTAGTTAATGTAGTGTGAGTTGTTGTGGTTGTTGTTGTAGGAGTTGTTGTTGAAGGTAATGTAGTCGCAGTAGAGTTTGCTGTAGTAGGAGTTGTGGTTGTAGTTGTTGTTGCAGTAGGTGTTGTGGTTGTTGTAGGAGTTGTTGTGGTGGTTGTCGTTGTTGAAGGTAATGTAGTCTTAGTAGAGGTTGTTGTAGTAGGAGATGTGGTTGTTGTTGTTGTTGTTGTTGTTGTTGTTGTTGATGAAGGCAGTATAGTCGTAGTAGAGGTTGTTGTAGTAGGAGTTGTGGTTGTTGTTGTTGTAGTAGGTGTTGTTGTTGTTGAAGGTAATGTAGTCGTAGTAGAGGTTGTTGTCGGAGTTGTTGTTGTTGTAGTAGGTGTTGTGGTTGTTGTAGGAGTTGTTGTATGGGTTGTTGTTGTTGTTGTTGTTGTAGGAGTTGTTGTTGTGGTTGTTGTTGTTGTGGAAGGTAATGTAGTCTTAGTAGAGGTTGTTGTAGTAGGAGTTGTGGTTGTTGTTTTTGTTGTTGTTGTTGTAGGGGTTTTTGTTGTTGTTGTTGTTGAAGGTAATGTAGTTGTAGTAGAGGTTGTTGTGGTTGTAGTAGGTGTCGTTGTAGTTTTGCGTGTAGTTGTTGTAGTTGTAGGAAGTGGTGTGGTGGTGGTTGTTGTTGTCGTAGTGGTCGTGGATGTTGTAGTCAGAGGCCATGGACTTATTGAGATCTTATTTTCTGTGTAACTGGAATTAATTTGAAGAACCTTGGGTTTACTGTTGTTGACATTCTGCTCAAAATAACTCCAGGCGACCATCGGATTGACAGAATACTTAACGAAGAGCATTGTTGCATTTGCAATTACAGATCCAGATCCGGCACTGCAAACACAGGAAAAGCATGATAAACAGTTTCGTCTTACATTGTTGTTATTATGTAAACAACAACATCCATAATATTCTTCAGTATTTACGGATATACAGTATAGTGAAGCACAGATCTACTGACTACTGGAACACACTCTTACCCATTTATAGGGTTGGTGCAGCTACACTTCCTCAGAAAATTCACTACACATCACATCTGATACAGCAGGATAATTCAGGCCTACTACACCACCCTGGCATCGTGCACACATCCTAACACAGTAAATACACAACACTCTTGCCTGAATGAGAGATCAGTGATGGTACCTGAAAGTCATTCCCACAACACCTCTGAAGTTGACGTTTGTCGGACATGTGTTACTGTCTTTGCAGTCATAGATACCCTTAAGCTGCCAAACAGATAAGACAAAGAAACAACAACAACACATGTGGATGAGTAGCATATATACAGTATATGCACCCCTGTGCAAGCTGAATAGCAGGGCATTTGCTCTGATGGAAGATTAAAAAGTAAAAGCATGTTGAATTTACTACATTAAAAATACAAGCTCCACATTTTTTATTACTAAGATTCAAACATTTTACTTTTCCAGACATTTGTATGTCCACCTTTATTTTTGATGACAATTCTTCTCGGCACTGAGGACACCAGCGTGGCACACATTTATGGAGAGATGCCCTATCGTTCTTCAGACTCTTTGGGGTTTTTTGGGGTTTTTTTGGCTGCTCTTTGGTAGCGGGAGTGTGTTCGAGTTTCATCTTTAAAAAAAAAAAAACTCGATTCCTTTATTTGACTTGAGTCAGGAAATATCCTTGGTCATAGTTTTTACTTTTTCCTTTAAAAACTTGTGCCAAAAAGCCATCTATAGAAGCTGTTAATTATACAATTTCCTTTAAACGGTCTGAGCTGTTACAGAAACTCAGAGACGAAGGCGCTGATGTTAGACAATGATCGGCTAAATTTGTTGATACTGATAAATTGGGAAAAAACACTAATATCGTCCGATACCGATGTGGTCGCTGTTATATCGCGCATCCCTATTTGAAACATTTGAGCTAATAAAGCATTTTTACATGTTTCATTTTAATGATATTTTTGTACCAAGTCTTTAGGATGTTGGGTCTGATTACAAACTGCATCCAAAGGTCGATATGTGGATATACAGCTGGGACACTGGAATGAGTGGCTTGAAAAAATCTTTCAGCTTTCAGGATTCGTTGTCCTCAGTGGGAGCTAAAGCTCCGATGGTCCTGTACTTATGTAGGAATCATCACCTGTTGTTATGCATCTTACCAAGTCAGTGACTTCGTTATACAAGGTCTGATACGCCTCATTCGCTGGGTTGAGCAGCGCAGTGGTGAAGACTCTGTTGGTGATTTCTACTGGCACATAGAGAGCCTGATCTTCAGCAGAACTGAGTTGCCCTACAAAAAGAAGATTACGCAGGTGAAGTGTTGGGAGGTTGGTTAGAAACAGTGGCATGCATCAGAAATCACTCACACACTGATTTTCCAATCAATGCATTCAAAACAGTTTGACTGGACAGCAGTGAAGCAAAATGCAGATTTTAATGATAACAGTCAGTGCCAAAGACACTGTGCACATATCAGACATGTTTGAAAGACTGATTCTTAGAATCACTCTTGTGTTTCTCAGCCTTTCCTACCACCTGTGAGCCCATCTGTAGGCTTACCAATGTCATAAAGTATGAATGAATCTGAGTCTGACATTGCTCTGATTCTGTTTTGAACAGTACTGATAGAATTGAAATTGCAAACAAAATATTAGCATTAAATGTCCCGTGTACCCCACGTAAACATCAAGCACTTGAGAAAATGTATTGCACTTATCTGAGTGTCTCTGAATGCCGGGGCTATTCTCTGTGAAGTGTTCAGGTTCTCTAAACTGGAACTTGATGTCGACAGTAAACCTATTTTTCATCATTCAGTCTCCATTCAGAATTTCAACTTCTAAGGAATGTAAATTTGAACATCTCCAATTCCAATACGAGCTCATTGAAAGCTCCAGAGCAGCCGCTACCGACCTCAAAGCTACCGACCTCAAAATACGGACCTTTGTGGTGAGATATGGTGAAACAACACAACTTTAAATGCTGATTTTTGTATTGCCTTCAGGATTTGGCATTCACAACCTCTAATCTCTTGAACATGATCAATGAATCACCAAATATTAATTTTCATTTGAGGAAAACACTACAGTTTAAGTAAATCAAACAAGATATCCAACACGTCTTGATGAGTTGATCAAAGCATCGGCAGCTGCAGCCAGTCACAGCATTCACTTCATCATTTCAAGCAGTTAGTAATGCAAAGATGTTTCTGTTTCTTACCTGAAGTAGTCACTAAAAATAGAGTATGGGTCAACAGCCATCTCAGGTGCACCATGGTGAATACGAGCCAGAACTCTTTAGTCCAATATTGGTCTGGTGATCTCCACAAAGACGACTACGTAAATGATGGTGTAGCCGTCATGTCGAGGGTTTTATTCATTCGCGATAAGATTGGGCAGGGATTAGAGGCTGGTCCACAAGTGAATGATATCTCTGATTCTATGATTCAGATGTAAAGGCAAACCTGCCCCACGTACACCCTCAGTGTTTACTCTGGCTTTATGTAGTGGATGAACTTTTTATTCCAATTGTTTGCTGGTTATTTGTCCGACTAAATTCCTTCTTCTTTAAAATGAAATGTACTGAAACAACACTGCTCCGATACTTGCTATATCTCAGGCTGATTTGCTGGTATTACTTATCTGTTTCTTTAATATCTTCACTTAGAGAGATTAATAGGCTCACATGAACTAACTGTGGACTGTAAATAAAGAAAATGTACCCAACCACTGGTACACTTGTCCTCTAAGTTGTGACATCACTCATTGAGCAACTAGAGAATAAAAGAATCCAGCAAACAAAGGTATCGTAGTTATGCAGATGATGTGTCGCTTTGATAACGCAGCCACAATATTAAAACCACTGGCAGATTTATTTTATTTAATTTAATTATTTGATCAGGGATCATGCACTTTACATAAAAAGCATCATGTGTGAGCTCTCCTGTCGGTGACAAAACATTTCGCACCGTTACTTTAGAAGGTTTTAGGAGGTTTCAGCCTGATTGTGGAGCAGTGGGGCAGCTGTTAAATTTGCAGAGCTGCTCAGGTCATCATGGGACTTTGACCAACATGTGTTTTGTGGACTTTGAAGTGACTGTGTCCTGTGCCCATGGCCTTGTGCTGCAGGAGTTTGGGATACAGGGGACACTGATAACAGCTATCTGGTCCTCGCACGAATAAAGTTAGAGCTGTGTTCGCATCCTTGGCACAAAGTCAAGCCCATCTACTGTGGTTGCTCAACCTCGTCTCCGACCCTGACATTCATGGATACGATCTCAAGATGCAGCCAGGTGAAGGACTGTCCAGTTTGGAATGCGGATGGCACGGTTCTTTAGGCTTCATCAGACTGTGACCTTCAGCGTGCTGTGGGGTGATTTGCAGTTGAGTGTAAAGCAGCCAGGAAAGAAGTTTAAGCATCTCGGGATCTTGTTCACAAATGACAGCAAAATGGACAGGTGGCTTGGTGTAGCGCCAGCAGTAACGCAAACATTGTACCAGACTGTTGTGATGAAGATTGACCAGCAGATCCATGTTCCAGCCCTAATTAGTCATGAACTCTGGGTAAGGACTGAAAGACGGACAGCTGTGCCCAGCCTTAGAAATAAGGTAAGGAGCTCGAACATCTGGAGTTGAGTCTCGCTGATCTTGGGTGACTTCCTTTGGAGGTTTTCCAGGCACGTCCAGCTGGAAGAAGACCCTGGAGTAGACCCAGAATTTGCTGGTGGGATTACACGTCTTCTGGCCTGGGAACGGCTCCCCCCAGAGAAACTGGAAAGCATGGTTTGGAAGAGGGACAACTGAAATAATCTGCTTTACCTGCTGCCTCCACAACCCGGCTCCGGATAAGCAGAAGAAAATAGGAGGAAGATCGTCCACTATGTGGTAGAAGTACTACATCTCCCACAGTTCTTTCGATATGGACCTACTTAAATTAAAGCTGACACTTGGCACTATAGTGGTATAATTTTAGTGTTAGTGCTGCTCAATTTAATTTTTTTTGTTTTTGTTGTCGTTGCTAGTTTCGACGCTCCTTTTTCCTGGATTCTCCTTTTGGATGTCACAACACTACTGGAAGTGGTCATTATGCCAAAACCACGTTCAGAGTATTTGTTGCCTTGAGACTACAAAGAGATAAAGTGTGCAGAGAACAGGGAGGCAGTGGAGGTAGCAGAACAAGTAGAGCTGCATCTTCTCTACTGCAGTAATAACCAGAACCAGGATGGAAATCACAAACACAGAGTGAAAGATGAGTGGCTAAAAGGAATAATTCAACATCCACGTGCAGAAGACGAATCGACAGCTCTCACCATCACGTCTGTGTTAAAGTCCCTTTTTGGTCATTAATTAAAAATTCATCTGAGGATCAAAGTCACATGACAATAATTCCTTCTGGCTTTAACAAGGCTTAAATACAATTTCACACCTCTGATGTAAATCTATCGAGTCAATCTACTATTATATAAGAAACTCTGGACTTTTGTGGATACGCTGCAGCTTCACGGCAGAAATGTTCAGTTGTGACACCGACTGCTTTGTTTGCTCATGCTGTCTCGCACCACATAAACACAGGAGCAAGGTGAGAAAACTACTTTAAGCACAAAGCTGTGGTCAGGATCTGGTGTGATCCAGAGGTGTTGGGAGGTGTTGTACCTATGGATATCTCCTGCTATGCACCTCTCCACGAGGAACAGTCAGTGTATCTGAGCCTACACGGGATTGGTTTTTGAAACTTGGTGGTGTTGGTTTTAAAAGCTTAAAAACAACTTAAACTGTTACCTGGTGGCTGACCGGCAGTGCTGACAGCCAAGAGCCTCAAGACAAGTCCTGTGTTCAAGTTAACCAATGTCAGAAAAAGCAAAGGCGATGGGAAGGTTTTTACTGTGTGTTTAATTCAGGGGCAGCAACATGAGAGATTAGAACAGGGAGCTTCCATTTTAATGCGTTTCTATGAGCACGGGAAACGTTTCAGGGTCACACGGACACACTGTTCAGTCCACTGGCCGTTTTCCTCTAATGGTCATCCCGGAGTCAGCGGCTGCTCTGTCGCAGCGAAGACAGAAGGAGAGGCAGCAGGTTGAGGGCAGGTCGATGCTCCTGCACCCCCAGCGCCACCAGAGCGCCGGTCAGGAAGGAAGTGACTCTGGGCAGGACAGGAGGCTGGGCCGGCATCACCTACAAATGAAAGATCAGCAGCTCGTCATCTGGGCGATGTTTCACATTTAAACACAGGAAACAGATATTTTTATTTACCAAGGACATTTGGAGTCGATCAAACTTGGGAAAAAAAAGATCTAGGTCAGTGTGTTGACATTCTTTTCAACTACTGACGGTGACAAGAGGCAGCGCAGAAGGCTTCAACGTTCCCTTAGAAGTTTTATAGATGAGCAAACCCCCCCCCAAACACAGCCAGCGGCTTCAGCTGTAAACAGATAGACGTAGATGTTGGCAGTCTGGAGGTTCCAATGGCTCCTACAGCTCTTAATGTTCTACAGGGAAATTATTTAAAACCAATGTCACAAAAACAATCCTATTTTGGTTCTTTTATGATTAGTAGCAATCTTTTGGAAATAGGCTAAAATCTGCTTGGTCCAACATAAACATACAGCAATGCTAATATTTGGTACTTCTGTTTTCCATCCACAAGCTCCTGGTGTGTTCATGGTTGTCAGTTTACTGCTCCTCTTGACAGAATTTGTTGGCTTTCTGATAGACTTGTTTCTGTAGCACAGTCCACAACTGCTGATGGGGTGTAAACCAGGTTTTTGGCAAGGCCAGTCCAACCTTCTGATTTTGTGTTTTCGTGAAGAATGTGGCTTTTTCATTAGACTGCTTACTTCGTCTAAACCACCAGCTCTACTGGCAGCAGAACAGCCCCACAGCATGATACTGCCACCGTCGTGCTCAACAGTAGGTATCAGTGTTGTTGAGGTCAAAGGCCTCATCGTCTCTCATACAAACACAGTTCTGGGCACTGTGGTCAAATAGTTCACTTTCTGTTTCACCTGATCACAGAAGTTTCCCCCAGAAGGCCTTTTTCCCTCCCTTGGGATTACAAGCAAATATCAATCAAGCCTAAAGTACCGCTTCTACAGGAAGGGCTTCCTCTTAACCCATCGTGATGTAAAACACACGGACATTAATGTTCCAGCAGTTTCTAATTCACCGCAGATCTGCTTTCTGGTAATTCTTGGTTGACTCTTGACCTGATCAATTGTCTCCCAGCAGCAAGTGATAGCTTGTATTTTCTTTTTGATCGCGGCAGTGACACAACGTGCACTTTAGGCTTACAAACAGTTGTTTGCACAGATTATTTTGGGATCTGTTGCAGGTTTGAAATGACTCCTCGTGGCTTGTCTGACTGATTTGCTTTTCAGATCTGTACTGAGCTCCTCAGACTTTCCTGGTAGCGTTTGTGGTGGAGTCTAATGAGTGGATTGAATATTTAAATTAGCTCAATGAAGTGAGCAGCTGTAGGCCGAGTTAAGAGGCCAAAACTTACACTTCAAGCTGCAGAGTTTGGTCATTTTTCGAGCTGACATAAAGTCATGACTCATTAATCTGACACTAAATGTAGAACCTTCTTCTATGTTGGATAGCAGGCTGCCGGTACAGTAAGGCTATTTTTATGGGTTCCTAAAAACCTGTCCGATAGCAAGGTATAGGACTGTTTAGGGTCGGATTATCGAGTCACTGTGACTGTATAATGAATTCAAGATTGTTTTTTGTGACAAAGACACTTTCAATGATTCCAATATAGAAAATTAGGAGTTTTTTTTTAGAGGCAACGGAAACTCCAGACTGCCATTACATACACGGCCTTTATATGTGTATTTAAACCGTTAGCTGCTCACCTTTTCAACTTTGTGACAATGAATGAGTCCATCCTGTCCTATGTAAAAAGTAGAGAATGCATCATACGACCTGTAAGAGACGACAGTCGGGTTAGATCAGAAACTATTGTGCAGGACTGCTGAGCACCTGAAATCAAACATTCTGTGGTGTGTACATTTAAAAAGTCTTCAAAAACAGCAAGTAGAACATAAAGGCCTTCATCTGACTGATCCCGGTGACAGATCCTACCTGTACAGTTGAGATTTGTCTTTGCGATAGAAGCGCAGCATCAGAGAGTGCAGGGGGAGACCTTTGATCCTCCAGCGGGCCTTAATGGTTCCATCCTCCATGTGCTTGGTGACCTTCAGCACATCTAGTCGAGCCTCCACATAGTAACACAGACAGAGGAAACGCCACAGGGAAAGGGTGACCTGGTACATCAGACGGCCTCTAAAACACACAGCAGCGGCAACCAGAGGGCAAACTCAGGTGGTATTCAGCCAAAGAATACGAGTATCTGTACTAATGATTCACTGTAAGCCCAGCATGGACAAGCAGCTTTACCTGATCTTGACATTTATGAGGCCGTTGATGAACTCCACATCATTAGAGTACATCGTGTAGTCGTGGTTTGTCATAAAGAAATTTGGAAGCTGCAAAGCAAACACATGGAATTAATTCCCCGACACCAAGGTAAAGCTTCCCTGAGTGTAGTGCTGTATAAGTGCAGCCTAATGAATGAAACTGAATTTCAGTCTTTATCATAGTAGTTATCGTAAAGAGGTGTTAACTCAACTCTTATGCTAAATCTGCTTCACAGACCACTGACTTGTATATCATTACATGCAGACATTCAGTCACTCGTCGTCTCAGCAGGAGCTGAAATGATTGTGTTTTCATGTAAAACTGTCGTAGGTCTGTGATGTCTGAGGCAAGCTGGAGAAGAATATGACAAGGCTGTCCAGCTCATGATCTAAAAGCTGAGTGTAATGGGGCTACAGTCAGTTTGCAATCATCCATCCATCCATCATCTCTACACTGCTTAATCCTCACTAGGGTGGTGGGGGGCTGGAGTCTATCCCAGCTGAGTTAGGGTGAAGGCAGGTTCACCTGGACAGGTAACCAGTCTATCACAGGGCTACACTTAGAGACAGACAACCAAGCACACTCACATTCACACCTACGGACAATTTACAATCACCAATTAACCTCAGCATGTTTCTGGACTGTGGGAGGAAGCCGGAGAACCCGGAGAGAACCCACGCTGCACGGGGAGAACATGGAGACTCCACGCAGGAAGATCCCGGGTGTCCTCACCGGGACGCCAACCGGCGACCTTCGAGCTGTGAGGCGACAGTGCTAACCACCAAGACACTGCTGAACCAGCTTTTCGTATTTCTACAGTATTAGGACGTACAACACGGTACAGATTATCTTGAACCACATGAAACGTTTTAGAAGCTGCATCTTCTTAAAAACTGGCGACAATGTCAACGAGTATAATAATCTTAAACATGGCATTTTTGTAAAAAGGTAAAAAAAAAAAAAAAAAAAAGAAACAAAATTGAAAGGGTCTAATTTAACACGAGCATCTCAAACAAGATGTCTGACCATGTTTTATGGGTCTGTGTCAACTAGAAGAAACCTGCTGCTCAAACAAAAGTTCACAATGAACTAAAAGTTGGCATGAATTTAAAGATAAAGTGTATAAATACAAGTCAAGCCTTTTTTTGTTCTGTAGCTCTCTTTAAAACACTCAGGAGTGAAAGGTAACCAAATGTGGAGTAAAATGTTTGTCCTCCTTTGTTTCCTAATTCAGTCAGTTAGACACTTCCTTGGACTAGCAGCTGTACAAATATCAAATGGCTGCACTTACAGAGCACCTTTTAACCTTAGCTGGTTTTTACAAAGTTCTTTCTGGTCTGCAAACCATCTGGTAGCAGTCGTGGCACCGTGAGCAGGAAGATAACATCTCCATAAAGCTCGTCAGCACATGGAAGCATCTCCTGGTAGATTGCCAAGTTATCTTTGGACGTAATAAAACACAGGCAGATGACACGGCACCCCAAATAATCAGACCGCAAAAACGTCCCACTGGACCTCAAACACCTTGGATTTGTGTCTCTTCACTCTACATCCAGACTCTAGTCCAGGGATCTCCAACTCCGGTCCTTGTGAGCTACTGTCCTGCAGGTTTTAGATGTTTCCATACTGCAGCACACCTGACTCACATTAATGGATCATTAACAGACTTGTGTAGAACTTGACAACAAGACGTCAGCAGACAGTAGCTCACGAGGACCGGAGTTGGAGATCACTGCTCCAGACTATGAAATGCATAATTTACTTTGATCTGAGAAGACTTTGTACCACTGAGCAACAGCCCAGTTCTTCTTCTTCTTGGCCCTGGTCGGACGCTTCTCTATTTGTTTCTGGCTCAGGAGTGATATGAGGAATGCAACAGCTCCTTTCCTGGAGATATCGTTGCTTTGTTTACCCAAAATCTGACACTGTCTTATCCAAACAGTGACCTAAATGTTCTGCCATACAATCAAATAAAACTATTAATATCACAGCTGGGTGATAATGTCCTCCGTGCTCCACCTCTGTCCGTCATGCTTATCCAGAAACTCTGAGCATCCTTACCTCTATCCTCAGTCTTTCATACATCATAGCCAGCTTCTCCTCTCCTTCGCGGTCTCCTTCGGCGTGCTTCCTCTCTGCGCTGCCTGCTTGGCTACACAGAGCAACAGGAGGCATCTCCACCAGCTTTCTGTCAAGTCCACCATCCTGGCTGTATGTCAGAGCACTTCCAGGCGTCAGGTGCATGCCCGGGCAATGAAAACAGTAAAACCTAGAGCCGTACATGAACGGTGCAGGACAACCCTCCGCCTCGAACAGGCTTCTGAAGCAGCCGTGCTCTCCATCTGCAGCTGTGGTGCCGTTTCTCTTGAAGCTGTTGACGCTGATGTCGTCCTCCCTGCTGCCGTCCACCACCGTCAGCGGAAAGGAGAACGCAGAAGACTTGTGGAGCTCTCCCGGTTTGTTGGGGCCAAACAGGGGGATCTCCAGCAGGGTGTGGAGGCCTTTGGACTCGCCCTGTCGCATCAGCACGTACACGCTGATAGATTCCCCACAGTCCTCCTCATAGTCATCCTGTCTCTGAGGCTGGCTGGAATGGTGCAGCGGGTAGGACAGCACCGGCTGCTTAATGGTCTGATATCTCAGGCTGTTGGGGGGCGCCAGAGCCCACGTGGCACTGCTCAGGGGATGCGTCTGACAGATCCATGGCCAGTCGACCACCTGAGAGAGAAATAATGACGATGTATTAATATTATTAGCACATACCATATGAACAATAGTTATATTGTGTTGATGCTGAAATTAAACTACTTTAGCAGAATGAAAACTCTTAGTAATTATCGAGTCAGATGAAAAGAGACAGTTTGATCTCAAGACAGAGAGCAGCTGTTACATCCTCGGTTGTAATTCCTGATCTGTGTTCCAGTTTTTTCTCTGGACTGAAGTGTGTGTTTATGTTCCTTTGAGCATCTCCCTGTGACTGAATCCATGAATCTGCCTCACACATGCCTCTCACTGATTGGTTATTTACAACGTCCTGTCATCTCAGCAAACCGGTGGCAGCAGTGTGATCGCTTTGCTATCCTGGGCCTCTTTTGTAGTGACTGTGTATGTTAGACTGACATGTTGTTGGGTCTTGTGCATGTGTGTGTAGTTTTGTCAATAAATTTGGAAACAGAACAATAATATACATTTTGCAGCACTGCAGTGAAGATGTAGGTATCAACTGCCATCGATGCATTTTAGTCACATCGATCTATACTGATTCACTTTACAATAGGCTTTAGTTTGGGATGGATGGGTCCTTTTAACGTAAATGATGTGCCCCAACCCGCTTAGACACTGACCATGGACAAAGAAAGAAATTGACCTATAAACAATTAAATCTGCGTGAATTATACCAACAACAAGAAGTAGCATCTCATGACATAGAACCCTCTTAAAAATCACAGATTGTGTTCTTTTAACATTTATGGTTATGTTTAAATGAATCAGATGCACTGTGTGGAAATGAGACAACTACACAGTGTCTGTGGGCTTTTCAACACTTTCATCAGAGGTGGGCCGTCTGCTTTCAGACTTAATACTGAGTTAAGCGTGCCCTGACTCCAACATCCATCTGAGCATTTCATCAACACAAAAAACACGTTACACAAAATGTTCACTTCAGAGATAATAAATACAGCGCATATGACACACCGCTGTTTCTATCATTTTGTAGAGAAAGCAAGCCTTTGTGTAACGAGAAAACCTTTGTGAGATTTATATGTTGTCACTCTAAACCAGGGATCTCCAACTCCGGTCCTGGTGAGCTACTGTCCTGCAGGTTTTAGACATTTCCAACACACCTGACTCACATTAATGGATCTCCAGCAGCTTGTTGTCAAGTTCTACACAAGTCTGTTAATGATCCATTCATGTGAGTCAGGTGTGTTGCAGTAACGTCTAAAACCTGCAGGACAGCATCTCACCAGGACAGGAGCTGGAGATCGCTGCTCTAAAGCTTTTGCACATACAAAAAACAATTTGTATATTTGTCAACTGATAACGAACAAGAAAACGGCAAAAGATGTGCTTGTCTTAAAATCCAGCAGATTACCTTACTCAGTCTCCAGCTCAGCTTTTGAAAAGGCTGCCGTCTGCCGTAGCTGCAGACACAACCCACCCAGAAGGCCACGCCTCCCCTGCTCACAGCCATTCACCACAGGGGTCCAGGCAGCCCCAGTCACCAGCTGACCACCATAACAGCACGGAGACCACGGCTAGTTGGAACTTTATGACTCTGGAAGATTCCCGACTATTGCAGAAGTTCCTCTATCATGGGAAACCTGAGAACACAGAGGAGAGAGGAAAGAGAGGGTGACGTAGCTCCATAGTTTCTACGAGGACATTAGACACCTGCTGACAGTCAGATATACAAATATTGTCATTACTGACTGTCAGCTGATGACAGTTCCAGAGTAAGACGTCTCACCCTTCAAATTTTATGTCAAGTTCAGAAAAAGCAAGAAAACTTTCAGATTCAGAAGTTAAATGCATGGCTGCTTTAAAGTCTGAACAGCTGGTAGCGTTGTTATTGGCTGTACGAGTCAAACAGTGACCTAAAGGCTGTTTAAATGCCACGTTGAGCTCTGGGGAGTTGGCTATAATTCTGGGACAATTATTGCTGGATCACAGTGGCACATATTTAAAGTTGTGGCATCACTGTAGGACATGAAAAGCCAGTTGTAGTTCACAGCAGAGATGGTTGTCTCCTAACTTTGGCCTTCCATTCAAGGTCTTCAGTAACTCTGCCAGCAGCACGTGACCTGCACTGAACCACCAGTTTGTAATCAAAGACTTCATGGTGAAAGCTGACAGCAAATTAAAAAGACATGAACATACTGTCTTTTTTTCAAACTAAATTTGCACTGCAGCACCTATTTGGACAACATTGCTTTGACGACTTCTGCCCAAAGCAAAGCATTTATTAGTAAGTCCATAAAATTAGCAGTAGAAATTAATTGCCCAGCGTTTTCCCAAGTCCCAGTATAGTGTAGTACAAGGGCAGCATATAGCATGACACACTTCCTGCATCTAATGTCATATGTGGCACACAGTTGCTGTAAACAAATTGCAAACATCGCAGGATATCGTTTACAATATTAGCCGAAGCATTCTGTCAAACGCCATTTGGGTTAAATGAAAAACAATCTTTAAGTTCTTTGGATCTCTATCTAGTACCTCTCTGGAGCTATTTTCTCCAAACTACGCTGTAAGGAAACGTGCTCTACAAGGACGGTGAGATATATTCCCTTGAACACTGACATCAGCTAACAGCTAGCTGCTTGCGCTCTGACAGCCAATGATAGCTGCTAGCGTGCTAGGCTAACTAGCCGCCAGTGTTGAGCTAGCCGCCGGCTTGACAGACGTCCCCGTGATGTTACCTTTCACAAACGAGCACCCGATTAAATCCGTCTGGATGGTGTGGTTCGCTCTGTGAGGTTTTGCACAGCAGCAGCAATCAGGTTGGCACAAACTGCGAAGCTAGGAAGCCTCTTTTAGCGCACTTACACAAATGTCATTCTAGCCCTGTGTCCTTGCCCTGCCTCGCGCAGCCAGTCGTAAATGCTGCGTTCACTGCTGCTGGAAACGCTGCGACTGCCGGGAACGACTACAAACGACCCAGCAGTGGTACCGGGCGGAGCATGTGCACATGGATAGAGGGTAGTTGTATTTTTAAATAAAATAGAATAACAGGTGCATGCTATTTGCTGATATATGACTATTTGCTGATCCAGATGCGCAAACACGTCTTTTTTTAAAAAACAATTGCTTTAAGTTATTGGATCCTGTAGAAACGCTCTCTCATCCTGCCTGTACTACTGTGTATGTACAGCAAAATGTCAACAAACTTGATTTACAACAACAGTTAGCTTCATCAATTCTAAAACTGCACAAACTCCACAGAGAGTATTTAATAATTAATTTTCATATTAAAATAATTTTATGTATTAGCTCATGTGACACAATGGCTAACATAAAAAATATATATTTTCCTATAAATAATCGTTTTGCCATTTATTTGTATTAAATGTCCAGGATTATGATTACATAAGAACACAACAACATCAGGTTCCTCGGAGTGCAGCTCTGGCAGGACCTGAACTGGAATAAGAACACCGCAGCGATCATCAAACGGTCCCAGCAGAGACTGCATTTGCTGAGGAAGCTGAAACCAGCCTCTCTCCCTGCCAGCATCCTCAGGACTTTCTACAGAGGTGTGGTGGAGAGCGTTCTGACATCCTGCATCTCCACATGGTCCTCCAGCTGCAGTGTGTCAGACTGAAAAGCCCTGCAGAGGGTAGTTAGAGGAGCTGAGAGGGTCATCAGAGTTTCCCTCACCTCTGTCCAAGAACTTCTCCAGAACCACTGCAGGAGCAGGACCCTGAACATTGTCAGGGACTCCTCACACCCTCTCCATGAACTGTCTGAACTGCTGCCATCAGGAAAACGTTTCCGGAGCGATAAAGGAAGAACCTCCAGACTGATCAACAGCTTCATGCCACCAGCTGTCAGAATGCTGAACTGCTGATCTGGATATGCAAACACTTCTCTATTTAAATTGCTTTAAGTCATTGGATCCTGATCCTCTCATCCTGCCTGTACTACTGTGGATGTACAGCAAGGTGACGATACACTGGATTTGATTTGAAATGTGTTGGACATGATGTCATCTCCTCGTAGTTACAACAGATCAGCACCAAAAGCTTTCGTAGTAACACAATCTCAGAAAATGACAACACACTCCTGTTTAGCACAGTTAACCAGCAGCCACTGTAGAAGATCCAGCAATGCTATTTTATGTACTTGAGATGACAAACGTCTGGGCAGCTTTTAGCTCCACTTACACTTTCAAAACAATTTTATGATTATTGTATAGTAATTACAGCACAGATTGAATATGGAAAATAAAAATGTAAAAAGCCTTTATTGTCTCCATTTGCCATATGCATTCTGTTTAGATAGAAAAAATGTCATAGCATTCAGTGCAGATGAAGTCAGGCCATCGTAAAACTAGCTAAACACCTTTGAAGGGTATCGCAAAACTCCTAACAGAATGCTTCGTTCATATAATATGTGGAGGCTGACACTGACACCAGAGCTCTTAGATGGTGATATGAGAAAAAGACTATAAGCAGGGGTATTTTTAAAATAAATCTACTCCTCAAAGGCTCCATAATGTCAGGACGCCTGAGCTCATGCTGACTCACAAATGAAATGACAGATACTTTCATGGGCCCATGAGGAAGTTTGGTTTGCATCACAGCCACATAACATTAGACACACAGACCCATGCTGCACACCTTCCAACAGATCAGGATGGCCAGATCAGCTGGACATCTCATTTATTGTTATATGCATTACCTATTAATGGCTTGAGGATCAAATGAAGACTTTAATCAGTTTTCAGTATCTGGTGATGAGCAATATTGTCCACCAGATGGCAAATTCCAATGAAGAGGTTTTTAAGGGGGTAGTAGGGTGTATCTGCAGAGCAGGGGGCCACCCTCTCGAGACCATGTTTCTAGGACCACACAGATAGGACCACACTTCGAGGACCCCTGGTGTGCCAAAGGACCTCACAGCATTTCTCGCCATGATAGACGACAGTCACAACAGCCAAATTTTATCTAATGAAAGCTGCTGTAAAACCAACTCTGGGCTTGTTTGCTGATTTGTTAAATTGAGTCATAGCACGATTTTGGCAGCTCAGCTTATCACAGCTGATAATTAACTATAGAAGCATATTAATACTTGTACATGCTGATAATGTTGCAGGTATTTGAACTGGTCCCAGTAGAGAGCCGAAGTGGATTAATGCTGGATTCCTCTTAGAGCTGCTGTTGTCTGTCATAGTTTATTAAGAACCTTTATGGACCTCAGTCATCAGTTATTCCGCCTGTGATGAGTCCAAATGTCTGCTTAAAAAAAGGTTAAACAGTGAAAGTACATTTTCCTTCAGAGTAGTTAATCTTTTTGTTACGACATTGTTTTGTAATGTTGAGACGTTTAGTTTATCCTTTGTCCAGTTCTAGGATCAGGTCTATTTAAGGTTGATTAATGTTTGATCTAATAAAGGTTCTGTCTTTCCTTATTTGTCTCAGAGACCATCCAGCATCATGAGATGCTTTAATGCAGACTCTTTCATTTTCAGTGAGCTCCTAACATTTTGCCACATTGAACAGGAATGAGGAATTTCAAACTGAATTAATCTTTTTATAGTCAAATTTAATAAATGAAGTTTGAGATACAGGAATTCCTTCCTGCCAACAGCCATCACCTTAAAAAACAAATTTGACTGACTGAATGATTGTTGTTGTTGTTGTATAGAATATATATGTTATATTGATTAAAAAAATAAAAAAAAAGTGAGCTTTTACAAGATTGAATTTCCCTTCTGGGATAAATAAAGTATTTTTTCTTTTTCTTTTTTTTTCATTCATATCATCTCAGGTAGACGTTGGAAAAGTGGGTTTTCTGAAGGTTTGTGAAGATGGAGTTATCTGTTTTTGCAAATGAGCTCGTCAAATATTAAGAGAGATAATTGATTTCTAAAAAAATACAGGCCTTCAAATAAGTTTTTTCTTTTTAAATTATTATTTATTCATTTATTTATTTATTCCGTATTGCTAAGCTTGTTCAACACTCCAGTCCGGTAGGTGGCGGTAATGCGCCTAAATGCTGGATGCCAACCGCCAAACAGATCGATAGAAGAAGGCTGGAACTTTGTTGGTGACCCGGCATCTGCATCATCACGTCGGTGGGCCGCATGACAGAAAAACACACATATTCTTAGCCACCGTATCTTCACAACATCACGCCAGCAAAATGCCCAGGAAGGGGAAAGAAGAAGCGGAGTGGGTGGACGACGAGGTCGCCCCGGCAGCCGGTGAGACAACGTTCATGTAATATGGGAAGCTAGCTAGCAGCTAGCTAAGTAGCATTCCAGCTAACCAACAGCCCACATGAGGTGTCAGCCCTCTGCTGGACATAGTCCCTTTAAACTGCGCGCTGGCAACAGCCGGTTCCATAAATGACTCTTTCGTGAATGTTTATCTTCCTCTGAGGAGTTAGCATCTACGATATGTTCCCTAAAGGCGTCCGTCACGGCCAAAGCTTGTTTTAGAGCCAGCTGCTGTGTAGCTCACATGTTGTAATGATGTCGTCAACATTGGCCAGGAGTCAACAAGATGTGAACCAGGAGGAGGTGACTGAGGTGAACATCAGCAAAGTAAAATAATCAGCTGATCTGCCTGTGACACCAGTGAAGCGGCATCAAGATCACGTGTTTGGGTTTGATGGTAGGACACATACACCAGGCACCAGGCTCTACTGTTTAGACTTTCTATATGAAACTCAATGGTGCCTCTGAGGTCAAGGATCTTTTAAGGTGTCACCATCCCAGCTGCTCTAAAAGCGTTCTCCATACAGCTGGATGGGAAATGAAAAGTAAAGTGTGTCATAATGCCTTTGCTGTTTCTACTGTAGTAGAATATTGTTCCACAGTTCTACAGTTTCATTTAGCTTTCATCCAAAGCGACGTCCATCTGAGAGCAGGTCCAACACAAGCAAGGATCTCGTCAGGAGGAAACAACCTGGATGAGTGCCATAGGTCTAGTTCGGGTGTGGTAGGGCGTTGATGCCAACAGCAGGCTGTAAAGAGGTGATAGGAATTTTGTTTGTTTGTTTGTTTTCAGTCTGTCAAGTGCAGAGGTGTTCAGTGAAGAGCTGCTCTTTAGTCTGACAGGGAGTCAGCAGATGGAACAGAGTTTGGTAACTCGTTCCACCACCGGGGAACCACAGAGGAGGAGAGTCCAGTTACCGACCTCATCCCTGTTGTGGTGGTTGGATCAGGAGGCTTTTGTTGGTCGAGTGTAGTCAGTGTAGACCTGAATGAGAGAGGTCAGGTAGGAGGGAGCTGCTCTCATTGTGGTTTTGTAAGCAAGTGACAGGGTTTTGAATTTGATGCGGGCAGCAGCTGGAGGCCAGTGAAGCGATCTGAACAGTGACATGTGCTGCTTGTGGCTGGTTGAACACCAGACGTGCTGCTGCGTTCTGGATCATCTGCAGAGGTTTGACCGTGGACGCTGGGAGGCCTGCCAGTGTCAGCATGTATTAATATTATATCAAAGATGATTTTAAGGAATAAACATCGATTGATTGGAAAATGACGTAATGACTTCAAAAACATTTTTAAAATCAAAAGTACTGTTTACTTTCTGTTTGAAACTCAAATGCTGCCTCTGAGGGTCTTTTCAGGTGACACCATCCCTGCTGCTCTGAAAGTGAATGATGTTTTTGTGGGCTGCAGGTGTCTCAGTGGTTAGCACCGTGGCCTCGCAGCTAGAAGGTCACCGGTTCACGTCCCGGTGAGGACACCAGGGATCTTTCTGCATGGAGTCTCCATGTTCTCCCCGTGCAGCGTGGGTTCTCTCCGGGTTCTCCGGCTTCCTCCCACAGTCCAGAAACATGCTGAGGTTAATTGGTGATTGTAAATTGTCCGTAGGTGTGAATGTGAGTGTGCTTGGTTGTCTGTCTCTAAGTGTAGCCCTGTGATAGACTGGTTACCTGTCCAGGTGAACCTGCCTTCACCCTGAGTCAGCTGGGATAGACTCCGCCCCCCACCACCCTAGTGAGGATTAAGGTGGAGAGATGATGGATGGATGTTTCTGCAAAGGGTGTATGCGACACCAGTCTTGGATGTTCTTTAAAAGAATTTAAATGGTCTCATTACTTCCTGTTCCCTTTTGAAAGGCTGTTGTGTTCATGAGGAGCTCTGCAGCATTACAACCTACGGATGTCTCTGCTCTCAAATCAGAGCTGACAGATCACACTTCAGCTTCCTAATGCAGAACCACAGATTTGACATGACAGTCATTGTCCTAATGATGTTAGACAGATTGGTACATGTGAACCCTGATGCCTGCTGATGTCTTTTGTGAAATTAAACATCTGCTGTCTTCCAGCAGAAAAAACTGTCAAAAAAGGGAAGAAAGATAAAAAGGGCAAAAAGAGTGTGAGTACTTCTTCACATACTTGTTTCACATTAAAATACCTTTTTTATCTTTGTGGTACAGTGCTAATGGTTGGATTTGTTGTGTAAATGTTTTCTTCCAGTTCTTTGAAGAGCTTGCCACAGACAGCAAACCTGAGAAGGTGGATGAGGTCGCTGTGACACACTCACAAGGAAAACAGGTAATCGTTTCTTTAACTTCCAAAGGTAACTGATGGTCCACCACTGAATGTGACCATGTGTACAGTTTATTAGATCAGCAGAGATAACGAGCACAGAAAACCTTTACACGAGTAAGATATCAGGAAGTTGTGAAAAACGTCCCCCTGAAGTTCTCCCAACCCAGATGTCTAATATTAGAATATAAATATTTAAGTTAAATTTAGAATTACATTCTAAAAACTAGCAAACTAAAATGGATAAATAAAATAATTATTTGTTTTCCAAAGCCACAAGAAGTCGCAGCAGAGGTATGAAAGAGCCACATGCGGGTTGCCCACCCCTGTTATAGCCTCTCTATACCCCTGTTATAGCCTGTTATAGCCTCTATATACCCCTGTTATAGCCTGTTATAGCCTGTTTTAGCCTCTATATACCCCTGTTATGGCCTGTTATAGCCTGTTATAGCCTCTATATACCCCTGTTATAACCTATTTATACCCCTGTTATAACCTATTTATACCCCTGTTATAACCTATATATACCCCTGCTATAGCCTATGTACCCCTGTTATAGCCTCTATATACCCCTGTATTAGCGTGTTATAGCCTATGTATATATATATATATATATATACCCCTGTATTAGCCCGTTGCTGCATTAGCCTGTTTAAACTCCAGAATGTACGTTTGAAACTGCTTTTTTTATTTATTTTTTTAGCCTCAGAAGAAAAAAAAAGACCGGAGGAAAGGAAAAGATGCAGATGCGGATGAGGATGACGATGAAGATGTCATGCTGAAGCTGAAGAAGCTCTCGGTGCAAGCAGACGACGATGACGATGACGAGCCAGGTAAGATGCCTCTCGTTCTTATTATCAGATCCTTCTTATCCTCACCTGTGCAATCATGACCCACTGTACATGCCTTTTGTTTCCACAGTTGTCGCCCCCAGTAAAGGAAACAAGAAAAAGGTTTGTCCTGAGTCTGGTTCTACAAACTGTACGCTCCTGATTCCTCACATGTTGACAGCATAAAGCATCTCTGGTGTCATTCAGGGGGGGAACATCTTTGCTGCTCTCAGCCAAAGCCAGAGCGATGAGGGTGAGGACGACGACCTGGATGAAGATGAGAAGCCTGGAAAAAAGGTACAGTGGTCTTATTTCACTTGGCCCTTTAGCCTTTATTGAACAGTGACTTGGAGAGAGAGAGACGTGTTCAGGGTCTGAACATGGTTCTCCTGCTCATCCTGCTGAGCTGCCGGGGCGCCACGTCTCAAAGGTTAATAGTCCTTTTAACACGGGGGTGGACAGGATTTGCTTTCTATATCCAAGTTTATGCATTTGTCATTGGAAATCAATTAACAAACCAAAACAAAGGTATAAAGATGCCCTCACAGGTCACTAGTTCTGCTGTAATAAGGGATGTACTGAAAGCTAAGTCCGATCTATGGAGTCTACACTTGCCAGAATCCAGAAGGAGCTGCTGCTGAAAGTTCCTGATGATACAGGACACCTTCAGAGGTTCTGTGGAGTCCACGCCTCAGCAGGTGGCATGATGGGTACCTACATGTTACTAGGCTGCTGGTTTTAATGCTGTAACTGGTCAATTTGTGGAAGATCCAGTGGGCGTGTTTTGTGCCTTTCACTTTGGATTTTAATGTAAAGGATCTGCTGGGGTTTTAAACTAAATTAGGAAAAGGATTGTACTGGAGTCAATAGAAACGGAATACAGAAATGTTCAACTCATCTTTATTTATATATGTCAAGTTGTCAGCATGTCATCACATATAAGGGTCCTTCACCTTGTAAGGTCACAACATTATAGAGAGAAACCCAACAAAACCGTTGACTCCATTTGAGCAAATGGAGCAAACTCCCTTTCAACAGAACAAATGGCCAGCTAATACTAATATTAATACAAGCACACCATCAACTATGTTGCTGGTAAATTAAACATGTGGACCCTTCCTTCAGTTTTCCCAATACTAATAAATTTGGCATTAAAAACAAGATTGTTGTACGTGGAGCTTCCACACACAAGAGGCTAGTGATAAAGCATCCTACGTTAAATTTACTGCTGGGATTAGTGTCTACTGTATAAACCTACGAGGTGTGCCAGAAAGGTTCCAGGACTGGTGTCACTAAAAATATATTTCAAACCTAAACTATGAGTGTTCCTCTTCGAAGTAATCCCAGCATGTCTACAAAGAGATCCTGCAGTGTTTGCTTCGTTCAGAAGAGGCAGAGTTGTGGCAGGACCAGTGGTGGCTGCTTCACCGTGACAACCTGCTCACAGTGCCCTGAGCATCACAGCTCCTGGCTGAGAAGAACATCTCCGTGCTGGAGCAACCTCCCTACTCACCCCACCTGGCTCTGTGGGGTTGGTTCCTCTTCCCCAAGCTCAAGGGGGTCATCAAGGAGACCCGTTTAGAAGACGTGGACGACATCAAGATGGCTGTGAGGACGGAGCTGAGAGGATCCAGAAGAATCCTTCCAGGAGTGCATGGTGGCGTGAAGAGAAGGCTGGAGGAGTGACTCCAGGGGAATTACTGGGAAGGGGAACACTGGTAGTTTGTAGTTTGGATTGGAAATATATCTTTTGTGGCACCAGTCCTGAGATTTTCTGACACACCTCGTACGTTCTCCTGAAGTTCTGGCCATTTCTGTATCAGTGCGTCTTTAAAACAGGAGGTTCAGAAGGACATAAAAAAGCTCAATTAAAGTGCCAGGAGATGTCCTTTTCTTTCCCATGTATTTTGGGCATTTTATTTCCTCTATTTCATTCTCTCCTGGGACACAGATGAGTGCTAAAGAACTTTCTTCTCATGTCAGACTCGCGTCTCCCTGTGTCCTCTACCGGCACCTACAGGTCCTTTTCATAACTGAGTTTCAGTGTTATGGCCTCTTACAAGCTTTACTCGTAGTAATTTTTTTAATGGAATCTTCAGACAGGTTCTGATGAGGACGATGAGGGAGAGAAGGATGCCGGTAAAGAGAAAACCACGAAGAAGGCTGAAGCCAAGTCCAGGGTAAGCGCTGTTTAAACTCTTTATGAATGTGAGTTTTACTGAGCAGACACACGCAGATAAATCACCATTTAACATTAACTGTTTGCCCCCAAGAGTCATTCTAAATTATACAACGTGTGCACAGATTCAGATTTTCACAATGCTGCTCTCAGAAGATCCTCAGTAGTTGCTGTACGTTTCAGGTGTCATAATTTGACGAGAATTCTGGCACCTGAAGAAGATGGTTGACAGAATAGCTCTAACTCTGGGTCTGTAGCTCCAGAACATAATCTGACTGTTCATTCAGAATTAAGGCGTGTGTGGGCAGCGAGCAAAAGCTATGACAACGGAGCTCTGAAATCCTGACATGTATTACAGTCTATTTTTAAATCTTTGTATTCAGCTGTAACCTGACAAGTGCAGATGGAAGAAAGGGAAGATAAATGATTTACATATGTACCTATGAATGTTAAGTCTTTCTCATCAGTATTTATAGACTGTACTAATATAACGTGTAAACATTCTAACATGAAATGCTGTCAGAACACATTAAAAAACTAACTCCTGCTATTGAACTCTGTCCATGCAGAAAAGTAAACCTGCTGAGGTGTCACGCAGCGCGGAGGAGGACAGCGATGGAGGTGACATGATGATGGTATGTTTGTCTCTTTCTTTTCAATTCAATTCAAAAAACTTTGTCCCCTGTGGGCAATTTAAGATTAAATTGTTGGAAACTAATTTCAAAAGCAATTCAGTTCTCTGCTTTTGGTCCTTGTAATTATTTGCCTCTTTCTCCGGCCGTAACCTTTAGAGTGCTGAGGACGCCATCGCAGAACAGAACAAGCAGCAGGAGGATGACCCGTACGCTAATCTTAGCAAAAAAGACAAAAAGAAGAAGAAAAAACAGGTAATTGCTACGTACAATATCCATCCATCCTTCCATTATCTCTACACCTTAATTCTCACGGGGGGATGGAGTCTATCACACTTTTCAAATGAGGGGCTGGAACAGAGGATTACAACTGAATTTTTGGCCATTTTTAGAGCCTTGTCAGAAGACAAATAAAGACAGTACACCAGATCTGATTACGTTTGTGGATTCTACAGGAGAAGTTGGCCCAAGATTAACAATTTCAAAGCTCCATGTGCCAGACTGTACAAGTTATTAGTGTCAGAAGATGGTCTGAGAGGCTGTAATTTTAAAACTTATCAAAGATGGAGAACTAATATTTGGGATTTCTCTGTGATGTAGGCATTGGAGCACCTTGGACTTTTTTTTATTTTTTTATAGAGGAATCTGAAAGGGAGAACTGGGGACATTCTCGGAAATTAGTTAATTTCATTTGGAATGACTCGTTATAGAATAAACTGGCTGAACAAGACTGGTTGTAACCCTATGACAGTACCACTTACTTTTAAATGCATTAAAAAAAACACACACATTTGCAAATCTTGCAGGATCTTAAACCCACCTTCAGGGCACCATAGTACGCCACAGCACCGGTGATGTCTTTACTCTTTTCCGGTGCTGTTATCTTGTGCTGCTCTGTTTCCATCTCTCTCTGCTGTGTGTCCTCACAGATGGAGTACGAGCGTCTGGTGGCCAGTGTGCGCGCTCAGAACGCTCTGGAGGGAGATTTCTCCATCTCCCAGGCTGAGATGTCGTCCAGACAGGCCATGCTGGAGAATGCCTCTGACATCAAGGTGACTATGTTCTTCTCAGTAAATCTCATGACGTGTTCTTAAACTACCGCCTGTTCTCCTGAAACACATGGAAGTGTGTTTACTTTCCTAATTGATTTCAGTTTCTAAATGACCGCTCACTCAGATAATATTCTGTATTCTCTGTTACTGAAAGCCTGCATTGTGTCTCGTAGCTGGAGAGGTTCAGCATATCTGCTCATGGCAAGGAGCTTTTTGTCAACGCTGACCTGCTGATTGTGGCGGGAAGGAGATACGGCTTGGTTGGACCAAATGGGTAAATGTGTTGCTGTTGTTCTTCTTTTCTTTTTTTGTAGTTATAATTAAGGAAAGAGTAGTAACATTACTCTGATGTACAAATGTAGGGATCGACTGATTATTGGCCCGGCCCATTATTGATGCCTTTATTTAGCATTTTAAGATGATTAAGAGGATTTTTGTTGGCCGATTATTGCAAAATACATCAAATACGCTCCTTTGGCTCAGCTCTCTCTGTGCAGTCACTCAATCAATCAATCAAAGTTTATTTATCTTGCCCTTTACAACAGCCCAAAGGGTGACCAAAGTACTTCACAGTAAAAAAAAAACAAGAGAATAACTTGATAAATATTAAAATAATTTAAAACAGAGGCAGCAGTAAAATAAACAATAAAAACAAACAGCAATAAAACAACAGTAAAATATAAAAGTTTGTACATAAAAACTGAAACAAAACGTCACCACACAGCTGTCTGATTAAACATATTCTACTTACATGAGCTGCACCTGTATACAGTACAGGCATGCAGATACATCAGCCTGTTCAAAACAATGTAAAAGAAGGTTTTTTGATATGACTCATAGTTCTGGAGCTCTGACTGTTTGTTCAAGAGGCTCATTCTTCGTCTGCCCGTGTGCCCCAGTAACTCAGGTGATTGGCTGATTGAAACTGGACAAGTAAAAGCTCAGATATGTTAAAAGGTGCTAATCAGGGTTCATAAAACATGCTGGCTTTTCAAAATAAAACATATAAATTATACCTCATGTATAATTATAGCCAGACATAAAAACCAGCAGAAACTGCGTTCGCACACTCAGAATTTCTTCAGACATTTTCTGGTGAACAGTTAAGGTGTTAGATGCTGGTACATGTATCTGTTGGTTGTTTAGTAATAACGTTGTTCATTTATTGTATTGTTATTTCTGCACATTTGTTCCAAATATTTTATTTCTCATTGTGAGGGATCTGTTCTGATCTAAACGTCTGTTTTTACATCCCGTTGACTCTCTTTTGTGTGAATCAATCTGAATTCACCTCCAACTGTGCACTCTGCATGACTGATACCTTCTGTGAGAGGCTGCATACAAATGACAATCAACACATGAAATGATTTACAGACATTTAGCTTATATTCATATACTATATATTGCTTTGATGTCCTGATATTAACTGAGTTCTCTTGTGTCATCCTCCAGCAAAGGAAAGACCACGTTACTGAAACACATCGCCAACAGAGCGCTCAGCATTCCCCCCAACATCGATGTGCTGCTGTGTGAACAGGGTGGGTGATCTGCCACAGCATACACTCTGTCGTTTTTCTGTCTGTTTTCATGCTGTTATAACCCACCTACTCCGTCATGTCCTTGCGTTCCTCTTAGAGGTGGTAGCCGATGACACGCCGGCAGTGCAGGCGGTGCTGAAGGCAGACACCCGCCGCCTAAAGCTCCTGGAGGAGGAGAAGCAGCTCCAGGCTCGTCTGGAGAAGGGAGAGGATGCTGTGGCTGAGAGGTTGGAGAAGGTGCGTCTGTAGTGATCTACAGCCAGATACAGCTTGGTTAACCAGCAGAGTGGAATAGCAGCAACCTTTATTAAGTCAGGACCAATGCTGTTACATATATGGTTTTTATATTTATGGCAGAAAGTCTGACCATCTCACAGCGAAAGAGAAAGAGAATTAGTCCAGTCTAGAAGTTATAAATGATGAACTAGTTCCTCAGCATCTCTCTAAGACAGGATGCTCCTGATTTTATATTATGTAGATGAAAGAAGGCTGTCCTACAGACTTGCTTTATGTTGAAAGATGTCCTGGTAATAACTCCAAAGAGTTACTCTCGCCATCCAGAGCAGCTATCTGGTTCCATTGTGTGTTTCTGAGGTGTTTAGGGCCAAATACAAGAACCTCAGTTTGTCTGGATTTAAATGAAGGAGATTCCAGGTCATCCAGGCCTTTATGTCCTCCAGACATGTTGGAGTCTGACCAGCTGATTGGTTTCATTTGGCTTCATATATAATATAACTGGGTGTCGTCTGCATAACAGTGAAAATTTCTGCAGTGCTTCCTGATAATACTGCCTAAAGGGAGCATGTACAAGGTAAATGATATAGGTCCTAACACAGAGCCCTGTGGAACTCCATAACTAACTCTACTGCAGGTGGAAGAATCATCATTAACATGAACAAACTGGAGTCTGTCTGATAAATATGATTTAAACCAGTTTAGTGCAGTTCCTTTAAGCCCGGTTAAACATTCCAGTGTCTGTAATCAGATGCTGTGATCCACTGGACCAGATGCAGCACTGAGATCCAGCAGAACCAGGATAGAAACTAGTCCACCGTCTGAGGCTATAAGGAGATCATTAGTGATCTTCACCAGTGCTGTCTCTGGACTATGATTCTTCTAAATCCTGACTGAAACTCTTCAGACAAACCATTTATATGCAGATAATCCCATAATTGGCAGCAACAACTTTTTCAAGAACTTCAGAAATCAAAGGGAGGTTGGCTCTGGGCCTATAGTTTGCTAGAACACCTGGATCCAGAGTAGGCTTATTGAGTAGTGGTTTGATTACAGCTACTTTAAAAGCCTGTAGCCTGCAGTGTTAGTTAAAGGAAAGGTCTGGTTGGGATGAGGTCTAACAAAGATGCTGCTGCTTCAGGTGAAACATCTATATCACTACATCAGTGCTTCTCCTACACTACAGGTCTATGAAGAGCTGAGGGCGATTGGAGCTGCAGCAGCTGAGGCCAAGGCCAGAAGGATCCTGGCTGGTCTGTCATTTACCCCAGAAATGCAGAACAGACCCACCAAGAGGTTCTCTGGAGGATGGAGGATGAGAGTTTCCCTGGCAAGGTACACAATCAGACATACCTGTACACCACGGTTCCTGGGTGGGATAGGCCCAACATGAACCTGTCAGATGTTCTGTTTCACCCACAGAGCCCTGTTCATGGAACCCACTCTGCTGATGCTGGACGAACCCACCAACCACTTGGACCTGAACGCTGTCATCTGGCTGAACAAGTATGAAGCATGGCTTTAATGAAACGTGTTCTCCTGAATCAGACCACAGATTGTTTATTAGTGGTGGTTTTTGACTGGGATTAGGAATGGAAAGGATTATTGATTAGGTCAGTTGGTGTGTTGATGGGGGAAGTTATCTACTCAGGGTTACACACGACTGCTGGCTGAAGGTCTGCGTCCATCAAAGTGGAAACGGTCGGCTTTTTACTTGACTTTAGATTCAAGGCCGCCTAGTTTAAATCCTTAAAGGTGTTCCAAAACAAAATTTGATTTATTTGGTCGTTTTATGTGAATAAATCTCAACTAAGAAAACTGTTTGTACTTTATAGATGGTCATTTGTTTCCTCTGTCAGTGACCTGGTTAGGCAGCAGTTTGGGTTGAGACAATGGGACATTAAAGACAACAGCAGAACAGCAAACTTTTTTCAGTGGAGAAAGATTTCTGGCAAATTCTTGTGTTTTGAGTTTTTCAGATCCTTGTGTGTTGGGATCTGAATCAGAAAGCACACTTTGGGTAGGATGGGTTTAAAAACAGGAAAAACCTAAATCACATCAACGTTTGGTTATTTCTAGTCTGTCACTGATTGACTTTTACCTGTTATCAAAGCAGCTGCAGCATTTATAAATGGTTTGATAAATCATGAATTGTGTTATGTGAGTGTTCATAAATGTTGTGTTTGTCACCCACAGCTACCTTCAAGGCTGGAAGAAGACGCTCCTCATCGTTTCTCACGACCAGAGTTTCCTGGATGATGTGTGTACGGATATCATCCACTTAGACAACCAGAAGCTCTACTACTACAGGGGCAACTACTGTAAGTGTTCATCTGACTTGTAAAATAGACCGTTCACAGTTTTTCAATAGGAAAATGTCTTCCTCACCTCTCTGTTTGCTTTACAGTTTCCTTACATATGTTTGTAGTTTGCTTGAAAAAGGAAATAAATTAACTCTGAATAATTGTTGCAGTGATATATGTAAAAATTAGGGTGTTTTAGCAAGTTAGCTTGACATGTGGGAAAATCTGGCAGGTCTGGGTTAGCGTTGGAGCAACAGGGAGTGAGACATACAGCTGAAATCTCTCAGTGGAAATCCTGGTTTACGTTTCTTTTTCTGCATTTCTTCAAGTGACCTTCAAGAAGATGTACGTGCAGAAGCAGAAAGAGCTGCAGAAACAGTACGACAAGCAGGAGAAGAAGCTCAAAGAGCTGAAGGCTGGTGGCAAGTCCACCAAACAGGCTGTGAGTACGGTCGCCCCTCCATCGTTCAGGTTTATACAGCTGAAAGAGTCAAGGAACTTTTATTGTCATCAGTTCTGGTGCTTCATGTTTGGGTAGACTTAACAGTTCTTCACTCTCCTGTAACTGATGGTCTTGAAACATGCCTCTATGTTGTTGTGTCTTCAGAACATACACAACATTAAACTCTGGATTAAATCTAAGCTACACTAACATCTAAGCTAACAGTTTTATCCACTAGTTCTTCAGCTGACAGCAGATTGGTTGAAATGTTTCCTCTCAGGAGAAGCAGACGAAGGAGGCCCTGACCAGGAAGCAGCAGAAAGGCAAGAAGAAGGGAGGCCAGGAGGAGGAGAGCCAGGACGCCACGGAGCTGCTGAAGCGGCCTAAAGAGTACACCGTCAAGTTCACCTTCCCCAACCCACCCCCGCTCTCCCCCCCTATACTGGGGCTGCACAGTGAGTACATCTGTAGAGGCTGCAGGGCTTCAGTTTGCTCATGTTCATCCTGAAGTGTGCAGGAAATGTTTCACCAGCACAGATGCCACATGACTGAAGTCAACATCTCTGCATGAATCCATGGGAAACATTATTGGAACAAATGTTAATGAACTAAGTTTGCATCCACCGTGCATAAAATGGCAGTCCTGAGTTTCCAGTGACTCCCACATCTCTTGATTTTCTATGACTGAATCACTGAAAGACGTGTTTTTGTCACAAAAACGTGTGACATGTCATGATGAGGTCAAACTGAAGTGGACCAACTAATAATGCTTCCTTTGTGTTGCTTTAAAAAAATGAATAAGAAATCACAGTGGTAGTGGACATTTCAAAACTCTGTTATTGATTATTACTGATTTCAGTTCCATCCACTTGCTTTAGTGTGTGATTTGAATTTGTGTCTGTCTGAAACATTGACGCTTGATATTTTCCTGTACAGGTGTTGACTTTGGCTACGACGGCCAGAAACCCCTTTTCAAAAACGTGGACTTTGGCATCGACATGGACTCCAGAAGTAAGTATGGAGCTGCTGTGATGACTGTAGGATGAAAACATTGATATCTGCCCAACAGAAATTGTTTTCCATGTTTGTGTTGGTGGAAGATTAGAAAGGAGGAAAACGGGGCTGCATCACCACACTGTGGGAGCACCTGAGGGAACTGCAAATGATTCAGTTTTAGCTTCCACAGCCCGTCTGAGCCAGGGTTTATACCATCATGTCAACCCTTTTACCAGTTACTGCCGTCTTTCTTGTGGTGATGCTTCTCCACATGCTTCCAATGTTGTTATTACACTAGTAATGACAACATTTTGAAAGTGAAATAAAAACTGAAAGTGAAAAATGGCAAGAAAAATGTTTTTCAGGAACATCATGATGTAACTGTGAAACTGACCGTTAACCTTTTGCATATAAAATTCTGACATGAAAACATCTTAAATTCTAAAGTTCAACTTCATATCTTCTCATCATCATGTTCTGCAAAACACTTTTCTGGCCGTTGCTCAGTGCCGAGACACAGAACAGGAGATCACATCTGGTAGGGTTAGGAGTCAGTAATCCTGGGTCCCTACCTTGAAACTGTTCAGACTGTACAGGTCTTTGCAGATCTTTTCATCCACATTTTCCAACCTGTACCTTCTCTGCAGCAGTGTTTACTGTCCTGGTTATAGCATACCAGAACCAGCTTTACTGGCCGACCATGTGAACATATATAACTGTTTTGTAAAGTCTGAGGTGTTGTGTCTGTTTCTCTAACACGACTTCTGTCTGACTTCCTCTAGTTTGCATCGTTGGACCCAATGGTGTTGGAAAGAGTACCCTGCTGCTGCTGCTGACTGGGAAACTAAATCCTGTAAGAGTGCACACATGCAACTGTAATTATAATTGTATCTAAATATATATACGAGTACACTGGTTACTTAATTGGATCTTTCCTTTTTAGACAAAAGGGGAGATGAGGAAGAATCATCGCCTGGTGAGTAATTCACTGTGAACGATTGACTCTTAAATCTTAAATCCTGCCAGAGTATGTACACTTATGAGCACAGCTGTACATCTGTTGGTTCTAAGGGGGTCAAGTTAGTTTATGTTTGACTGGTTTTGTTCAATGGGTATGTTACATGAACAATATCAGTTTCAGTGTTATTTTAATATAATCAGGAAAGGGGCATGGTAACAGTCAAACGGTCCAATAAATATACTGCAGTGTTGATATAAGAACACTGTGGATATATGAGAAATATAAATAATATCATTACATAATTATAAATAATAAAGAATGATAATGTGATAGTAATATATAATAATACAGAAGCAGGCCTGTGGAAGGTGTGACAGCTGACACGTAGCTCCCGTTGATGATGGTTCTGTGGCTCCAGAGTCGGTTTGCCTGAAGAAAAGCTTGAACTTGGACTGTGCTCTGTGTCCCTACAGAAAGTGGGTTTCTTCAACCAGCAGTACGCCGACCAGCTGAACATGGAGGAGACGGCCACAGAGTACCTGATGAGGAACTTCAACCTTCCCTACCAGGACGGCAGGAAGTGTCTGGGACGCTTCGGCCTGGAGAGCCACGCCCACACCATTCAGATCTCCAAACTCTCTGGTATAAACACGAACCGACTGAGGAACATTTACTGTCATGAAACAAACATTTTCTAACAGTTTGTCTGGATTTTGTCTCCAACAGGTGGTCAGAAGGCCAGAGTGGTGTTTGCTGAACTGGCCTGTCGTCAGCCTGACGTACTGATTCTGGTAAGGACCGTTCAGCCCACAATCCTTCCTGTTGATGAATGGATTCCATCACTAAGGATTTTGTATTTCTCTGTCACAGGATGAACCCACCAACAATTTGGACATCGAGTCTATTGACGCCTTATCAGAGGCCATAAATGAATACAAAGGAGGTAAGAAGGAAGACTATTTGTTGTGTATTTTGTCCGTCCGTCTGTTGGCGAGGAATTAATCCACAAATGTCTGTGATTCTTCAGCTGATGGAGCTGTTAGGAGATGCTCCACAAGCACTCGACAGATTACAATACAAAGTACTGGTGTTAGTAACAGGTGCACTCACCTGTTTTAAAGTTTAATTTCTACCTCAAACTGCTTCAGTGTTCCATTAGACTTGGTTCTGTTGGCATGAGGTCTGGTTCTGAAGTATTGTCAGCAGTCAGTAGACATTGAGTGCTGTTGTCTGTAGGTCCAAGACTTCAGTTAATGACAGCAAAGGAGTGTCCCCTGGACCGCACCGAATATTCTGATTTTCATCATTAACTGGGCCTGAATATCCAGAGAGCAGAAAGTGCTATTGGGACCAGAACCACTAGTTATTATAACAACTTTTAACAATGATTAACAACAGATGAGCCTTCCAGCATCAAGCCCTCCTTGTATCTCGACCTCCGTCTTGACAATCCGACATAAAAGGCTTTACATTTAGTGTCGGATTATCAAATCATGGCTGTATTTAAAGCTTTACAACACCGATAAATCAGCTGAGTCTGTATCATCGTATTAACACTGTGTCCCTTGTCCTGCAGCTGTGATCATCGTGAGTCATGACGCTCGGCTCATCACAGAGACTCAGTGCCAGCTCTGGGTCGTAGAGGACTGTACGGTCAACCAGATCGACGGAGACTTTGACGACTACAAGCGGGAGGTGCTGGAGGCTCTGGGAGAGACCATGGTCAACAAAGTCAACCCCTGATCACAGAGTCGCTCTGACGGCACGTCGCTGTGTCTGTACATGAAATGCTAGCTGCGCTACCTGTGGGCTGTCTGGCAGGTCTCGGCGTTAACACTCAGAATAATACGGGTGAACAGGTGGCGGAGTGTTAATGTTTCCACAACTCTCTAGAAATACAGTCAGATGAAATGTCTTGAAATGATCATCTACTAATGCTACACAAGGAAATAAATGCATCTTTCATCATGTGGTTTTTATTGAGCATTTTTCATCTGCATACATGTATAATATGAAAACACAGAACGACACAAATGTACAGCAAAACGAAGAACTCCTGACCAGCGGTTTAGTTCTTGTTACTTTAAGAATGCCTTGTATGTCGTCCTAACTTTAGAAACTTCATTCTCATCAGGTGTAATCTCCCCGTACCATTTATACCAGGCGTCACCAGTGGTTAGGCATGGGGAAGGTGGTGTGGACCCCACGGCATCATGGGAGTTAGAGTAGTTCTCTCCTAAAAACTCCACATATGGAATCTGAAAAGGAAGTAAGCCTGACAGAGGGCAGATCGTGGCGTTAGTTGTAGTTTCATCCCTAAAGTTTGGCAGAAATGTTATTCTTTACATCTTATAAAGCCCTTAGAAGTATACTTAAAATATTAGGGAACAAAAGAGTTTAATGGGGCTGAGCAGGTTTGGCTTTGTGCTACCTACCGTGGTCTCGTGCTGTGTTGATGGCCTCGTTTAGCTTCTTGTGCTGTTTCATACACACACCTGAAGACAGAACCAGTACAGTGTGAGTCACCTGTAAGTCAACAGGAAGACAGATGTGCACTCATAAAGGTGCTTACTCACCGGTTCTAGTGGGATCAAACACCATTCCAGTGTGGGGACTGATGAACTGCTGCAGGAGCTTTATGTTCTGCAAGAAACATGAGGGTTAGCAGCAGACCACGAGAGGAGATAAAGCTGTCGATACACAAGATATTAATTACCCTAAAGACCGATAAATAACTGCAAATACATCTACCATGATAGAGGTCATTATCAGCGCCTAGGTTTTCTTGGTAAACCCCTTAAACAAGCATCCCATAACTGACAGTAACTGCTGTAACAGCCATTCGGTCCAGAGGGCTGTACTGGGAAGCTGGTTTGACGTAGCCAGACCTAGAAGACCAACTGTGCGCTGCCTACTAGGTGGTTGATATTGGTGTCAGTTAATGTATTTTACCACTGAGCGCATTCTCAATGCAGCCCAAGACTTTTAAACAAGGTGCTCAAGAAGTAGATGTTGGTCTGACAGAATACTTGGAAATCACTTTAGTTTTTGACCAAATCAAAGTGAAATTAAAGACTGAAAATTCCTTGTAATAGATGCCAACAGACTAATCAAATGTCTAATCTGTGTTCTATTAGTACAAGCAGAGTAAAGCAGACTTGGCAATAAATCAGGACAAAACGTATAAAACAACATGATGCATACAGTTTGTGCTACTGTAACAGCACAGCTCAACATCTGTATCGCTCACAGAGAAATAAAACTGGTGAACAGGGAGACGCTTCTTATGCCGATTTAAATCCAAAACTCTGAACATAACCTGCTCCGCAACAACTTATCTGTGCAATATAAGTTGTTACGGCGATCTAGCAGGTTAAAACAGAGTGTTATAGATGTATTTATTTATATATGTCAGAGGGTCAGTGAAAAAAAAATCTGATTCATTCATTTAAATTAACATGATACATAAAAATATAGAAATATTTGTATTGTCTGGTTTTAAACAATGATCACATTGGTCGAATAGACTACCGATTTTAAGAGTGTGCGACTTGAAATTGCACCTGCTCACATACGCGCCAGTGTATGATGATCATCAGGCTGTTTTTGTGCCTCTCCAGCTGCCTCAGCCATAGCAATGGAAAGTCATACATGTTCAGCTTGACTGGCTGGCTGATTTTCACTTCTTCATATATAAAGCCAATGCCTTGTCCAGGTGGTTTGTACGCCACAGAATGGAGCCAATTTAAAGGGTCATGACATAATGAAACTAGTTTGTTGTCATAGTTGGACTTTTCTCTAATATTTACCTTTGTTATAGTCACCCCTGATGAGGGGGCAGGTGAGCTAGGAATGGCCTCATGTTGGGGTCAATCAGTGCAAAAATAGCTCTGCTGGAGGTCAACGGACACTTTTTCAAAAATACAGTATCATGGCCAGCAGGGGCAACTATACCCCTCTACTGACCTCAAGTTGTAAAATATTTGGATCATTTTAAGACAGAAAATTACTTGCTGACAACTCAGCCACTGGAAACCTAACAAGGGGCCTCAGCTATTTTAAAAGTTGAATGTTTCTGTCATTTTCCAAGCAAAAATAGTGAAAAATGAGATGACATGTTGCTATTAGTCAGAGTATATTGATGTAAACTAAATATTTTTAGATCAATAAAACACTACATGGCTCTGCAATGTGGTAACACAACACTTATTTCACAGGCTAAACAATAATTTCAGATTTTGTGATGAAGAGTACTTCCATAGACAAATGAAACTTGTCTATTTGATGTGCTGGGTTGGATTTAGCTTGTGCAGACCTTGATGGCAATGCACTACAATGCAGTGTAAATCAGTAGCACGTGTGAGTGTAAGACGCTAACCCACCTGATAGTGGATCACAACGTTTGAATCCCGACAGATCGGACAGGGATTTCCACATATCTTGTCTCCTCTCTGCAGAACAGAAACATCGTCGTGGTTATTTTAGATAACTGGGTTCATGTTGGTGATAGCTTGTGGAATAAAATAGAAATCTTACAATGCAGGTCTTGCGTGTCTTCTGTGGGGGGATGCCTCCTTTGTGGTTCCTCCTGTACCCTGCCCACACCGGATTGCTCCCATACTTCTCAATGTACTCTGTCAGGTCAGAATCAGAAACAGACTCAGCTTTAATGGCAAAGAATGTACACAACATACAAGGAATTTGGTTTCGGCAGTTGGTGTCACCCTGGGAATGAGCAGGAATAACTGAAATATGAAAATAAGAAATAAAGTAAATATAGAAAGGTAAAATAATAATAATAATAAATAAAATAAGATAAATATATACAGAAATGTATGCATTTGACCAGGAAAAAATATAAGTACATTGGTATAAAATAAGCAGTGCAAATGCCTTAGATTACCTTCACTCTCCAGGTAATCCCAGGGTCTGTCCATGTACCGGGATCGGGTCTCTGCAGCCTGAGCAGCAGCCTCATCCTGCAGGGACGCTCCCTCGCAGAAAGAGCGACTTGGATGTTTAAAAAGTGAAGTGCATGTCCTCACAGGCAGCAGCCGTTGACAGACCTGAATGCAAAGAAAAAAATCCCCTGACTGCCACCGCTGTCACAGCATCTCCTTCATAGCTGTCCCCTGCTGCCACTGTACAACTTTAGCGTACACAACACCACGGTGCTAACGTTGCTCTTAGCTACAGCTAACTAGCTAAGAGCAACGTTAGCACTCGGGTACATAACACCGCAATGCTAACGTTGCTCTTAGCTACAGCTAACTAGCTAAGAGTAACGTTAGCACTAGGGTACATAACCCCACAGTACTGACGTTGCTCTTAGCTACAGCTAATTAGCTAAGTGGCTAACGCACCGTATAGGAACAAGCACGCTTTCACATCTACCCTCTCGTTAACTCGTCACAGTTAAGTTAACGGGCTGGGCATATTAACAGTATATTTAAAAAAAATATTACCTGATACTGACGAAAAGCATGTGAAGTAGAAGGCGACAGACGGCACAAAGGCTTCACGATGAGCCGGATAGAGGCAGCCATTTTTGGGTGCCTGTAAGGTTGTAGGTGAAAGGTCAAAGATCAAGCGATATCCTAACTGTATGAATCATTAAATTTTGTATAAAACCCAATCAACATCAAATCATTCACACTCTGTTGAACACCACAACCTGACATTTTTATTTTAGTCTGCTAAGTGTGGACGGTTGTTAAAATGCAGGCTTGTTCCTTCCTGCCACATGTGACAGATAAACCAGTAGCCATTTTGAAGAAAAATTGGAAACTAAATTTATATATTAAAGAAGTACTCCAGTCCGGCTGGGTCATCATAATGTGCTTCTGCCTATAAGGACCTCCTTAATGGTGCAAAAACAAAGCACTTTAAAGGTGAATACAGGCAGTTATATGGAATAACTTGTTCCAAATTAGGAGCTACGCCATTATGCCTTTGACTGCACAGTGAAGGTCGGTTGTCCACCATTTTGTTTCAGTGAAACCAGGGAAAAAACATCGCCTCTGACGTAAAAAGCGTCACGGGGTATAAAACCTAAGTCCCTCCTCTTGGAGCTCATTCCTGGATTTGGTGAAAGGTAAGTGAAGTCAGAAAAAATAGCTGGGCTTACTTTCAACGTATTGTCTGTTTTTTCCTTTTAAAATGCGAAATGCTCCACTGAAATCATTCAAAGACTTTAGTTTAGATGAAGTAAGGGAGCAACAGCAGACAGTAGAAATTAAATGTTTGCCTTTTGTGTGTTTTCCAGGTATGAATTTGCATTGCTGAAGACTGAACCGTCGAGGACTTCGAACAACTCTACCCAAATTCATATTTTTTCTTCAAGTAATGGACATTTGATTACTATTTTTGCCTCCAGTTTGATCCTGAAGGAAAAGCTAGCATTTAGCTATCACAGCCCCACCCACAAGAAGTATTTCAGTTGATATTAAAACCATGAAGGTTGACGACATAAACTTGATGAAATAAGAGATATAAGTGCCTGAAAAGCACACTATAATATACTCGAGACGCTGAGGACCTATAGTGTCAATAGTAAGTTGATTTTGAAGTATAATTGAATCGAGATTCATAAATTGAATATAGTCGCAGATAATAGGCTAGCTAGTTGTTGCTGGCTAGCAGCCACCGTGAGTTAGCGTAATTTTTGGACAACAGTTCGAAAGTAGCCAGTGCTATATAGTATGAGCTCACACAGGAAAGTGGACGGACGCACAAGGCTCCGTTTCTTTGTGTGTGAGACGGAATGGACTTCTGCAAATAAAACTAAATATAAGCAGTAAATTCGTAATATAACCATAAGCAATCTATTGATAAAGATTGCGGTAGGCACAGGAGGCAAATTGTAGCTCATGAAGTCGGGACTTTTCGCCTGCCAGATCCGCTTTGTAGGGGCTGCTCCACGGAACTATCATACACACCGCAATCTATACATAAAGATTGCGTTAGGTGAAGAGATTGTGGACATATTTTATGACGCATTTTGTGTGTGTTGAAATGTTGATAATCATAGCAACAGGGACTTCCCGACAGTCATGTTCTCGGCAATCTGCGGATAAAGATTGCAGGACGACCCGCGAAGGTGGTCTTTCGAAGCACAAACCGCTGGGACTGACAAACATGGTGGACTAGTTGTGGTTTGATCTTCGTCCTCCACAGCTCCGGGGGACTGGTCGTGTTCTCTTTTTTTGTTTTTTGTTTTTTTGTTCGCGGCGGTACCACATTTGGAAAGGATTAATGATCATGTTTACAACGAGCATAGGGTCGAGTAGATGATGTGTGTTATGTTAGATAGGTGGTGGTCGGTGCCCTGTTTTTCTATCTCGGTCTTTGCTATGAGAGCTATTGTTGCTTGTGAGAGAGCTGGTTGGTCGTCGAAACGGTTAACGGAGGGAGGGATCTGATTAGCAGGCAGCCTCCAGCTCCCTCCCTTTTGTCAAGCAGCTCAGCCCTAGGAGCGGGCTCCTTGTCAGCTTTGACAGATGTCAGGTAAAGCCCGAGCCTTTTTATAGGCAGCCTGTAATACCCTTGCATAACTACGGACGTTTATTATTATTTTCACCCTGTTGCCTCATTCATAGCCACGTCTGTTCTTTAAAAAAAAAAAAAAAAAAAAAAGGTTTAGTAGAAGACTTGGGTTGTTTTTCTCTCAGCGATCTGTAGCAACCACCACAGTGTGACTGTGCAACAATAACGACAACCTTCTTTCCCCCCTTTGTTCAGCAGCAGCCAGTTGTCAACACCTGATTTTGTGTATTTGTGTAACAATTGTGACGTTTGCAGGAATTGGGTTATGTGCAGTGTTGTGGAGGTCTGAGACTATATAAAACTTCTACTACAACAGTTAAACGGGTAAGACCTAACTGATTCCTCACATCATGACATTTGTAGTGAGTTAATTTCCTCCAGAGCTGCTGCAGGTTCTCCACACGAATTGACCAAAAAAAAAAAAAAAAGCCACAACAGCAGTTTCATTACTACAAAATACATAAACAAACAAACAAAAACAAACAATAGGTGCATGCAGTTAAGACTCAGCAGTTAAATTTCAAACCATTTGGAGGTTTGACCTGTAGCCATGATAGTTTTTTAAATCCATAAAAGTGAAGCCCGTCATGGTGGCCGGCTGAGTTGGCTGTTTTGGTCACATTGATGTTATAGGAGGCTACAGGTAGATTACTGATAAACATCCAGCACCTGTCAGTCATACGTTTGTGTTTCAGTCAGTATTCTTTGTGACAGGTCAGACTGTAGAGTTGCACTAACAGCTGAGTTAACTTGAATTGCATGTCTGTATTGTGTAACCATGCAGACAGTACAGGGCCAGTGGGAGAACACAAACCTACCTGTAGGTGGCAGTAAGTGGCCCGACTTGTGCCCTCTGGCTCGGATCACTACCTGTACTGTCATTAAAACATGGTGTCCAGTATATATATATATATATATATTTACTCTCACTCGTATCACACATCCAGATGAATATTAAATTAACTCTACAGTTTTCAAGCATCTCATATTTCATACAGTTACCTTCAAACAACTTGCTTTTGCATAAACCATTTGTCTTTCCATCGGAGTTCATAACTAGTGGTAGGTTTGTAAACAGCGTTTTATTGATGTTTCTGTGTCATCCTCTTTTTATCTGAGCTGCATTTCTGTTGTGATAGATGTGTCCTATTAAAAAGTTGATCAATCATTATCAGTAACATTCTTAAAAGGTACTCTCATTTTAAACTTTCACTCCATTTTTATCCATATTATACATAAATGTGTAAACATAAATAATCTATTAGATGCATATTAATACCCAGGTGAGGAGGTTTTTCATAGCAGTTCTTATTTATGACTTGATTAGGGATATGTTTAAGTTAAATCTTAGATAAATAAAAAGTCAGTTTGATGTACATCAGTCTTTTTTTAAATCATAAAGTCTTGTTGTGTTGTCTGCGTTGCTCCTGCCTCTTCTATCATAGCCTGAATAAACAGCGTTGCTTCACACACTAAATGAATATTATATCAGACTAGTCCTGTACGTAGAAGTCCCAGAGAGAAGAGACTCGGTAGTAAGTTACAGCATCCTGCCCTTGTCCTACTGTGCAGGTGTCGAGTTAAGCCAATGAAATACTGTAAACCTCTGAGGTGAGGGACGGCATGCTGCAGCCATGGATGGATGTCAAAGCACCAGAGTTCAGTATCATGTTAGCCTGAGCATCACTCTTGGTGTTTTTTTTTTTTTTTTTGGCCAGATGTATAAAATATAACACATCTGGCTAAGACTAGTACAACAGGTCGTCTTCAGAGTGGTGACTGTGAGTTGGGTTTGACGTCAGGATCTCTTGCAGTTGGATGAATATGCTGCTCTTTAGCTCCTCAGTGAGTCTGATGAGATGTTGTGGGTTGGCTCATCCGTGTTGTTCGTCAGGTAACTGGACCTTGATGTTAATAAAATGTCCTTGATGGAAACAGGTTGGTGTTGTCAAAGCCTGAATCATGAGTCAGGAGGGAGGTCCTTCATGGTGGAGAGAGATGCATCTCACTGATGTCACCTTGTTGTCATGTTTGTACTTGATGTGAACCTGCTTATGGGCCCAGATGGGAGTTATTTTATTTGTTTTGTGGAACAAACCCAGTTGGAGCTAAAAGGTCCAAAATCCTACCAGCAGTCCAGATGGAACTCTGGTGCCTGGATTTACTTTTTCTATCTGGCAGGCAAAAAGTCCCCACTCAACATTTTTATTCCATTTATTAGATGAAAACATTTCTGCACATTCCAGAAGATGTAATTCAAAGGTGTCCCTTTGGCGTTTGTTGATGATTGCCAATGTGTGTTTCAGGTATGGCGGGGGGACCAGTAGACCCCAGAGAGATTCTGAAAGGTGTGGAGGCTTTGCTAGGAAAGGATGGAGAGCTCCGCAGCCTGGAAGGAGTCCCGAAGGTGTTCAGGTGAGGACCTGATATTAGACACTTAAATAATGACTCTTCTGCTCGTGAATATTTTAACACCTTTGCTCTTTTTTTCCAATGCAGCTTAATGAAGGCTTCGACTAAGATGGTCAGTAGATGTATGTATCTGAACATTCTGCTGCAGACGAAATCCCACGATGTTCTCAACAGGTAGGCCTTCGTTCTGCTCCGTACGCTGTTTGTTGCAGTTGATGGTTTCCTAGTTGGAAGAACTGTGAACTCTGACAAAACAGAAACAAACACGGAGACATTTTTACTTGAGCAAATTGTACTTTTTTGACAGAAAATCATTTTGAAAATTGTATTTTTTTTTAATCCACAAATAAATAACCAGACTCTTTCCTTGCTGTTATGAGTTTGCCGTCATGATTTCTATGTTTAGCAGCCTCTGTCCTTCCTGGAGTGTAGTCAGGGATGAATACTTACTCTGTTAAAGAAAACAGTAGAAACTTCAGTTTATTGGAATAATGATCCAGTTTTCTGCTTCCAATAATGTAATAGTTCTGCTGTTGTTCTGGTCACTTAGTCTTGGTATATTATCAGTCAGTGTTACTCCTGATGCCCTCCACACTGTCAGATGATCGTATCTAAGGCCACAATCTGCAAAAGATGCCGTTGTTAGTTTGACTCATCACATTCGTTGACCTCCAGCCTCATCAAGAGATCCAACTAAAAGTGTCCCAAAATGAAAACAGCCACTTATGATCATCTCGTCAGACATCACCATGTTTTACTCTCGTTTCTTGGTCTGCAGGTGTCTGTTCGCTATCGCAGACCTTCTTCATTAACAATCTGATTTCCCCTCCTCCTCCGTAAAGGTTCATCAGAGTCGGTGGCTACAGGCTCCTCAACTCCTGGCTCACCTACTCCAAGACGACCAACAACACGCCTCTGCTCCAGCTCATCCTGCTCACGCTGCAGAAGTTGCCTCTCAAAGTGGATCACCTCAAACAGGTATGTCTTCAGTTTTCCCACCAGATCACTGCTCTAGAACTTCATGTTGGCAGCATCTAACCGACTTCTCTGTTCTCCCAGAACAACACGGCCAAGCTGGTGAAGCAGCTGAGCAAGAGCGCAGAGACTGATGGTGAGTTTCCTTTACAGCAAAAGTCCAAATTCCTGTTTAATATGTAATATATGTGTTCCATATATAATCTGGTCTCTTGTTTTCAGACCTGAGGAAGTTGGCGGCAGTGCTGGTTGACGGCTGGATGGCTACGATCCGCTCACAAAGTGTCTCCAGTAGTGGCAGCTCTCCCGCTGGTACAGATTTATTTTTCACTCATTGTAGTTTTGCCTAAAAGCTTCTCCATTCAGCAAGTTGTAACACACTCTGTCTTTATCTTTTAGATAAGAAGAAGAAGAAGGATGAGAGCAAGGTGCTTGTGCGAGATGCGAAGGAAAGAGTTGTGGATGAGGAGAAGAAGAAGGAGAAACCTAAAGCTCACGCACCGAGCCACGCAAAGATCCGCTCCATAGGTAACCCTCATCTGATGAACAGGGATGTTGTTGGTTTTTAAAAAGTTCTGTGTGATCATCGGTGTGTTTTGTGTCGTGTAGGTTTGGAGATGGACTCTCTCAACCCGACCCCGGCCAAGAAGACGCCCACCGCCCCACAGCTGGGCGACAAGTACAACATCAAGCCTCCAGTCCTCAAGAGGCCAAGGTAGTACACCGTCCACCTGGTCTGTTGTCACACTATGTCTGCACCAGCCGGCTCATTGGCAGCTGACAATTGGACTGACATGTTTTTCTTTATGTTCTATCAACAGCTCTGGTCCATCAGATGCTCCACCTCTGGAGAAAAAATACAAACCTCTAAATACGCCCTCTAACTCCGCCAAAGAAATCAAAGTTAAGATCATTCCAGCACAGCGTAAGTTCAAACCTGCTTTCAGAACCACTCTTTAACTCTGTTTTAAATGGACCATGGGGATGTAACGGCTGTGGTGTTCACTGCTGTGTTTTGTGTGTTTCCTGCAGCGATGGAGTGCACAGGTTTCCTAGATGCTCTGAACTCTGCCCCAGTGCCCGGGATCAAGATCAAGAAGAAGAAACCAAGTGCTACCACTGCAGCTAACACCAAGGCCGTGTCCCCGACGTCCAACAAGGTACTGACCCAGTCTGACCACATATCAGTGAGTTTTATGGCCACTGTCTTACCAAAACATCCTAAAAATAAAGCAGATCTTCAAAAATAAACTCAACGCTGCACGATAGCTTATGATAGACTTTATGAAGTGCTATAATAATGTCCACTCTGATGTAAAGAGCTAAATTAATTGTTGTTATTATTATTATTATTATAATTATTAATAATAATAATAATAATAATAATAAACTAAACACCAGCCACTCACACTTGTTTCTTCTTTGTCCTCAGGCAAGTCCATTTGACAGCAAACCTTCTGCGTATTCTTCATGTTCTGCTAAACCATCGTCTCCAGAAACCGCTGCTTCCACCACTGCTGCTGATGAAAACCAGGAACCGGAGCAGCCTGGGACCCCGGTTCCCTCGGAGGACCCGGAAGCTTCTGACAACGGTAACACCCTCACGAGCTGATCATAGTGTTTGATGAGCCCTGAAATTATCGGACCTCGTGCTTTTCTACTGAAGCATGTTTGAAAACGTTTCTCTCTGATTGAACTGTTGTAGGTGAGAAGCCTAATGCTCTGGCAGAACCTCACGGAGAAGAAGAAAGCCTGACCAAGAAGGGCAAGAAGAAGAAGACGGTCCACTGGGCTGAAGAGGAGCAGCTGAAGCACTACTTCTACTTTGATCTGGACGAGACAGAGAGAGGTGAAGCAAGGGCTTAATCTGTCTAAAGTCTGGTCTGTAAGCCATCTGAAAAAATCAGAATTATTCATGATATCATTCCATTTAAATCACAGTCAATGTCAACAAGATCAAGGACTTCGGTGAGGCGGCCAAGCGAGAGCTGATGATGGACAGGCAGACGTTTGAGATGGCTCGTCGGCTTTCCCACGACACCATGGAGGAGAGGGTCCCCTGGACACCCCCGAGACCGCTGACACTGGCCGGCAGTCTGGTTGTTCCCGGGTCGTACAGCACTGAAAAGCTCACCCAGAGAGACCGAGAGATGGGCATCCTGCAGGAGATCTTCCTCAGCAAAGAGAGGTAGGACACCAGACGCAGCCTGGTCTGCATGTATGGCATTTGTTGTGTTTCGAACTATTAGCACTTCAAATAGCAACCAATATGGACGACATTAGAAGAAGTCTGGATGTTTCTTTGTCCAACTTAAAGATGTTCTTGAAGAATTAATGTCGATGATTTCCTATCTTTACTTATCACCAGTGTGCCTGACAGTCCACATGAACCGGATCCAGAGCCTTATGAACCGATGCCTCCTCGTCTTATCCCGCTGGATGAGGTAGAAACACCCAAACACATGCACACTCTGTCTCTCCCATCTGTTGACTTTGTCCTATTCCACATGCACTCCTAGCCCACTAAGCTGTGAGTCTGGTTGCCCCTACAGGACTCTTCCATGATGGACGATGGCTACGTGGAGCCCATGGACACCACATCGCAACAGGGCTCTGGCGCGGCCCAGAACGAGAGCTCCAAGCTGCCTCCGGTCCTGGCTAACCTCATGGACAACCTCAGCAACAGCTCCCGCAGCCCCCAAGCTACCAACACCGTCAGCAACACTGTGGCTCCCACTGTCAACGTCCAGGAGCTGCTCTCCTCCATCATGGTGAAGATATTAAACATCCTTGTAGCTGGATGTAGAAATGTCTGTGTGTTGTGGTGATGTGAACTAATGACAGCTGTCTGTCCTCAGGGCGCTTCTGGCAGCCAGTCAACTGAAGACCTAATAAAGCAGCCGGACTTCTCTGATAAGATTAAGCAGCTACTGGGCTCCCTGCAGCAGACTCAGAATCAGAACCAGGGCGGACCTCCTCCAGGTAAACGCAGTCTCTCATCCCGCTGTGTTGGAGGAATTTTGTCAAAGCATGACCGAATCGTTACATGTTCTGGTCCTGTGTTCTGGTTGGTATTTGACCTGTGTTCTCCTTTGTCCAGTCAACCAGGGTCTTCTGGGACACGGTCCAGGCATGAACAGCATGAACAACATGAACAACATGCATATGCAGATGCCGATGAACGGTGGCTACCCGCCCAACAACTCACCCGGTGGTCCCCGCTTCAACCACCCGCCCCCTCACCACGGACCGCCGTTCAACCAGGGCGGTGGCCCACGCATGATGGGGCCTCCTCCGGGGCAGGGCAGAGGAGACAACGGCAACTACTGGGGAGAAGACGCCATGAGGGGAGGGCCCCACAGAGGAGGACACTTCCACCGAGGAGGCCGGGGCCGAGGAGGAGAGCTGGGCTTCAGGGGCCGGGGACGAGGAGGGCCCAGAGGGGGACACAACAATATGAACGGTAGGTGGTGGGACTTTATTCTCAAGTATGTTGAAAAGTTTGCATAAAAACTGAGTAGATGTGAAACTGTATGTAGCATCAATAGCATACGATGCTAACAGTGAGTGCAACAACAATCCTTCTGTACTTAGCACTCTTCTGAGACTGACACCTGATTCTCAGCCTTGAAGCCTTCAGGTACCAAACATATCTCATCCTTATCATCCTGTGTTCTTCTGTCAGACATGTCCAAGAGGCCCGTGTGTCGCCACTTCATGATGAAGGGAAGCTGCAGGTACGAGAGCAACTGTGCTTTCTACCACCCCGGCGTAAACGGACCACCGCTGCCCCCCAACTACCAAGCTAACAACCAGCACAACCAGCACCCCCAGCATGGCCACTAGATGGCGGTACCGCACGCCTGAGAATGACTGTTACCTGCTGGAGAGGCTGCTGATCACGTCGGTGCAGGATGTGTCAGGACTGCTGCTGAAAACACACAAAGACAGAGCAGGGCTTCCTGTCCTGCACCCTGAAGGGTCTGAGGTCGTGGTGCAGGCGACTAGCTCGAGAAGGGAACCCTGCCTCGGCCGACGGAGAACAAATGAGAAGTGTACATTAGGGACTTGAAGGCTGTGAGATGATTAATGATGGGACTGTGCTTTTATTGTGATTATTTTTAACAGAGTGACTGAAACAAGCCACTACATCTGACCACTATCGCCGAGTCGCTGCAGCTAGCTTCCTGTCACTGTCCTCCCACTAACACGGCTCAACCGAGTGAATGTCCCTCTTGTCGTAGCTGTTCTGTGTTCCAAAGGTGATGACGCTTTCACGTGTCCTGTAGTTTTCTTACTTCATTCATAGGTTTTGTAAAGATGAGGCATGAAGTCTTCTTCTTCCCTCCCTCCATGATTATTAAATGTACCACAGAGTTTAGGAAGCACTTTATACCGATAAACACAGCTACGCCACATGTATGATTTACTACAACTGGGTCCGAAGAATCGTGACAGAATCTATAAACTACTTAACTGTGGCCGATTTTAAGGAAACTTCAGAAATTAACTCTGCCTGGAAGGACCTCGCTCTGTTCTGCTTCAGCAGCTGGTACTGAATGTGAACAACGACATGGAAGCAACAGCAGTGTGTGTTCTCTCGCTCTCTCTCTCTCTCTCTCTCTCTCTCTTTCTCTCTCGCTCTCTCTCTCTCTCTCTCTCTCTCTCTCTCTCTCTCGTGTGTATGAGTGTGTATGTCAGGGCGTACTGTGATCCCGTCAGAACAACAGTTTCTCCTCGATCCCAGAGATGCTGCCTGTAGTTTCTGGATCCGTCTGGACCCAGGAGCGGCGCTTTGTGTTGCCAGTGTTAAGGATAGGAACGGTGAATGTCACCGATATCGTTTTCTGTGAAAACAAATTTTTTTGTGTCTCTTGTGGGACTGTAAGAATGTAATTTTTCTTGTTGCTCCCTCCACCCTGTTTTTGTTTGTTTTTTTTTTTTTTTGATAAAATCCTTTCGTCATCACCCCGTTTTAAGATGGGTTAATCTTTTTGTCAGTGTGAAGTTTGTATGAATACAGAACTCGCATTCATACACGTTTTCAGTTGGATTCTTTTGTACGCAGTGCATTGAATAAATGTCTAAATATATGTGTGGCTTTGTTTTCGTTCAAACATCCATCCATCCATCATCTCTACACCTTAATCCTCACTAGCGGGGCTGGAGTCTATCCCGGCTGACTCAGGGTGAAGGCAGGTTCACCTGGACAGGTAACCAGTCTATCACAGGGCTACACTTAGAGACAGACAACCAAGCACACTCACATTCACACCTTCGGACAATTTAGAATCAATTAACCTCAGCATGTTTGTGGACTGTGGGAGGAAGCCGGAGAACCCGGAGAGAACCCACGCTGCACGGGGAGAACATGGAGACTCCACGCAGAAAGATCCTGGGTGTCCTTACCGGGACACGAACCGGTAACCTTCTAGCTTCGAGGCGGGGACACAACCACTGAGCCACCTTGCAGCCCTGAATTAGGAATTACACATTTAAATTGGATCAAGCTTCCAGGAAAGCATGAAGCTTCAGACATGTGGAGTCAGTCACACACTTCCTGTTAACTGTTCCTCTGTCTGAGGTGAGCTCAGGTGCCGGTATGTTTGCGCCCTGTTTGAGCAGGCCAGTCAACAGGGGTGTGTGTCTCCAGAGAGTTAACATCAGATCCGTGTTATCTGGGCAGGGCCGAGTGCAGCTGGTGAATGGGAACTGTTAATAGGAGTGGCCTTTCACCCTGCCTTTCAGCGCAAATATTGACCGTGGTGCTGTGACAACACCGACACACAGCGACAGAGAGAGAGACGCAGTGAAAGGCGACTCGGAAAGAATGGGGGTAAGGACACCTCAGCACTAAGCTGCTCCCACATCCTGGTTGCAGGCAGCACCAAAAACGATTATTTATTTAGTGCTTTGGTTTGACGAGCGAGTCACTAGAGTGTGTGTGAAGCACAGAACTTGTACTGTGAATATCACATATCAACATAAAATCATAAAGTAAAAACAGACACATGTGCAGTAGTCATCCACATTATTTCAGTTTGATTGAACGGTGCAGCTCTATGAGACGTACAGTAGGTGTTGTGGAACTTCACATTGTTCTAGTGCACAGGTAGAGATCAGAATCAGAAGCTTTTTACTGCCAAGTGAGCTCACACACACACACACACACACACACACACACACACACACACACACACACACACACACACACAAGAAATTTTGTCATGATGAATGAAGCTGGTAAACAACAACAACAAGACAGGAGTGAATATAGAAATCTAAGAAATTCTAAATAAAATATGTAAAAGAAAAGTATGAGAGTACGACGTAAATAAAAAGTACTTTGAAAGGAGACATAAACCAAGTAATAAATACGGAAACAGTTTAAATTACAGGATTGCACATGTACTGGTGATGCACAGAGCAACAGGAGTCTTCAGTGCTTTACTGACTGTTCATGAGGGAAGAAGCTGCTCCGGATGTTCTGGTGCTGAGACCTGAAGCGCTGACCGGAGGGCAGCAGGTCAACGAGGTGGGTCACATCTGGCCCTGGTTAAAGATGCTCTCTAGTGAAGGTCTTCCTGACTCCTGGGTGCTGGATTCTGACCTCTTTGCACAGAATCCTTTCAGTGGTTTCATTATTAAATTGTTATCAGCATTTTATTTTTTAAAACTGGAACTGGAAATAAAAATATGACACAAATCTTATGGTCACATGGAATAAATGAACTTACACAATGTTTTAATGTGCTCCAGGAACTGTTATTCTCAGTTATCTGGGAGAACCACAACCAACTCATTACATTCAACACAACACTGGGACACAGTTATTGGTGTAAATGACAAAGTGCAGCTCCAGCTCCTTACTGTTGTAGTTCAACATTTCTTTGCAATTAGCTGCTTTATTGGCATCCTTCTCTTTCTTATTAGTTTTTTTTAGGTAATATGTGTATTTTTGTACATCTGAGGGCCACATCGCCTGGGGGAGACTTGGCATTGCCGGCCACTGTTACCGCCATAGGGAACTTCCTGCCAGCCAGCTCGTTCTTTGGGAGCCATCTCACGGCTGGCGGAAGCCGGGAAGACCTGCCACCACCTTCCTGGACACCCTAAAGCAGGACACTGGTGCGACCACCTCAGCAGAGCTTGCCACATGCATGACCAACAGGATGGATTGGAACCAAAGACGTGAAGCTCGGCTGAGGCCACAATGATGATGATAATGCTACGAGGCTAGATCAGTGGGTTATCGAGGTATGTGGAGCATAAAGTCAGAGTTTTCAGGTGGCCCCCCCTAACCTGGAGCTCACCTGGTCCAGAGCAGGTTTATGTTCAGAGATTTAAATCGGCTGGAAGAAGCGTCTCCTTTAAACCAAATGTTTTCCTGACGATTCTCTATGATTCTCAGCTGAAGGAATGTGTTTTATCTGCAGATCTGTTGAGCTGTGTGTTCCTAAAACAGCTGGATGAAGCCGTGTAGTTTCAGCATGGCACACTGTATGCATGTGTTCAACTGGTGGTGCTGAAATCACATGTTTTTGTGTTTGGTCCTGATTTGCTGCCAATTATTAATATTCTGTTGGTATTTATTACAAGAATTATTCAATCGGTAACAGAATTTTCTTTTTGATTTAGTCAAAAATTAAAGCGACATCCTGCATTTTGGAACAGAGTCAGACCTGAATGCACTCCAACATCATGTTTAAATATATTGAGCTGTAATGAAATAAGCAGCAAAAAACACGTTAACACAGGATCAACAATTTTCTTCCTGCATTGCATCATTTGCAGCATCTTTTTCATATCATACATTTCTATATTCGTTGTTCTCCATCATACTGTACATGATTCATTTTCTGCAGAAGAAGAGTCCAAAGACGCGTTGGACGTCCCTCTTTCACGTGAACACGCTTGTTGTTGGAAACAGAAAGTCTGAGTTAACAAAGGAAGTTGATAACAATCTTCTGATACCTCTTATCTCTGAATGGTAGTTTTTGTCGAGGTGACTCAGACAAAGAAAGCCGGCCTGGTTGTGTCAGACTGGCTCCATAATGCAGCCCTCTGTACCGATCAGAGGAAGTTTCCTCTTCAGATCATCTCCACATTTCAGACACAGATTGTTTTCATTTTTTTTTATTTATGTGACCTTTAGTAACCCAGCAAGTCCATCCATCCATCATCTCTACACCTTGATCCTCACTAGGGTCATGGAGGGCTGGAGTCTATCCCAGCTGACTCAGGGTGAAGGCAGGTTCACCTGGACAGGAAACCAGTCTATCACAGGGCTACACTTAGAGACAGACAACCAAGCACACTCACATTCACACCTACGGACAATTTAGAATCACCAATTAACTATTTGTGGACTGTGGGAGGAAGCCGGAGAACCCGGAGAGAACCCACGCTGCACGGGGAGAACATGGAGATTCCACACAGGAAGATCCCGGGTGTCCTCACCGGGACGCCAACGAGCGACCTTCTAGCTGTGAGGCGACGGTGCTAACCACCGAGACACCTGCAGCCCCCAGAATGGCAATAAAGGTGTTAACAGATCTCCAGATTTCCTGACTTTGAAATAAGCCAACTTCAAAAGTTAGTGAATAATCTGTCTTCGTAACGATACTTCTGTTTGTTTATCCTAGTCTATTCAATTTACAGGTTATTATTTAAGAAGTTTTCATGACACCTCCTCTGGAGTATTTCCAGGGAACCAGAGTTCAGGGTCTTTCTTCAGACAAACATCCAGATGGAAGAGAGTTTTCCCAAACTGGGCAACGATGACTCATTAATAATGGATTTTTAAGTCCAGCTTCCATGTGTTTGACCATTAAAGGTTGAAATACTTTAAGAAAACCACATGTTGCACATTTATTTAGTTTGATTGCAAATTTTTAAGGTTAATTTAAACTTACAACAGTTAAGTCAACAATATGCATGTGGTGCTTGTAGTATAGTTAATGGTCCATGAAGAGAACACATAAAGGAAAGAAGCACATGAATGCTAGCCTTCTGGTGACAGTCAGCAGGGAGGATGTTCACCTTCAGACTGAGCGTGTGCAGAGAGAGCCCGAAGTGGACCTCAGAAGGAGCGCTGTAGTGAAAGGACTGATTCAGTCAGTGTGAGGCACACTAGCTGTCAGGAGGCCCGCTGTGGGCTGAGCCTGAACAAAGCCACCATTGACAGCAGCCAGGTGACACCGAGCTCCCTGCTGCAGCACACGGGATACGGCTGAGATGTTTGGAGACAATGCAGGAGGCACAGAGCACCTTTATCTCTGAATCCAGTCGTGTCTGCTCGCGTTCAAATCGTGGCAAACTGTAGATGCTTCATGGGCAAAGTTTTGAACTGTTTCATCGAGCTTAATGGCTGAAAGTAAAAGTTATTAGTCAAACAAACTGTTTGTTTTGGACAGATTTGCTCATTTTCATGGTTGTATTAAGGTTTTGTCTCGGTGGTTAGCACCGTTGCCTCGCAGCTAGAAGGTCGCCGGTTGGCGTCCCAGGATCTTTCTGCGTGGAGTCTCCATGTTCTCCCCGTACAGCGTGGGTTCTCTCCAGGTTCTCCGGCTTCCTCCCACAGTCCAGAAACATGCTGAGGTTAATTGGTGATTCTAAATTGTCCGTAGGTGTGAATGTGAGTGTGCTTGGTTGTTGGTTGGTTATCTTCACCTTGCTGTACATACACAGTACAGGCAGGATGAGAGAACATTTCTTCAGGATCCAAATAACAATTTAAATAAACAGGTGTTTGCATATCTGGATCAGCAGTTCAGCATTCTGACAGCTGGTTGAATGAAGCTGTATATAAGCTTTATAAGCTTATATGAGCCATTCAGGTGAGAGCAGGACTGAAGGTGTGAATCAAAAACTCTCATGTTCAGTGCGATGCATGTCAGCAAACAATAAATGGCAAAATAGGCTCCATCATATATTTTAGCACACCACTGTCTACTGATATCGTGGGAATAAAGTTGAGATCTCCATTTACAATGAGTTTATAGTCCTCATTTTCAATTCAATTCAATTCAATTTCATTTGTATAGCGCATATTTAGAACAACAAGTCATCTCATAGCGCTTCACAAAGGCAGAGACAGAAACACCCAACAATCCAAAACATTTGGATTCCCTATAAGCTTCAGCAGTCCGCAAGCGGTCCGCAACAGTGGGAAGGAACCGAAAACCCCCGCAGGAGAAAAAAAACCTCCGACAGAACCAGGCTCAGGGAGGGACGGCCATCTGCCTCGACCGGTTGGGTGGATGTAGGATGAATTTATAAAATTTAGGTTACAGTTAAACAAGTTATTAGAAGTTATTGTCCTTATGTAACAGGAGGCATCATGGTGGGGTAGCAGGATGCAGAAGGTGAGGCCAGCGGCTGTAAATCAGGAGCTCCAGATCCAGAGACATCCACAGAGAGAGCAGGCGCAGGAGAACCTCGGGGGGAGTCACAGAGTTAGTCATATGTAATGGTGATAGGCAACTATAGAAACATATACATACATACACACACATATGTATATATATAAAGAGGAGAGGAGAGAAGCCCAGTGGATCATGGGAATCCCCTGGTGTCTAAACCTATAGCAGCATCACTAAGGGACAGCTCAGATGACTCCGAGCAGCCCTAACTATGAGCTTTATCAAAAAGGAATGTTTTTAACCTAATCTTAAAGGTAGAGAGGGTGTCCGCCTCCCGAACCCAAACTGGGAGCTGATTCCATAAGACAGGAGCCTGATAACTGAAGGCTCTGCCTCCCATTCTGCTTCTAGAAACTCTGGGAACCACTAGTAGACCTGCAGTCTGAGAGCGAAGGGCTCTGTTTGGATAATATGGAACAATCAGGTCTTTAGGATATGATGGAGCCTGATCATTAAGACTTTTATATGTTAGAAGCAGGATTTTAAATTGGATCCTTGATTTTACAGGAAGCCAATGGAGAGAAGCTAATACTGGAGAAATATGATCTCTTTTGTTGGTTCCTGTCAAAACTCTGGCTGCAGCATTCTGTATAAGCTGGAGGTTTTTAAGAGAACTATTAGGACATCCTGATAATAAAGAATTACAATAGTCCAGCCTAGAGGTTGTAAATGCATGGATTTTAAGCTGACAGTAATTAAAACCGGCCCTGTGCATTAGCTCTACTGTATGCTGATTCATTACTTATAATATTTACCGTCATGCTCTCACACCAGGATGTCTTTAGTAATGCACACGGAAAGCTCCAACTACCCACTTGCCCAATGAAGTTTGGCTTGCAAATAAAAAAGAAAAAAAAAAGCTTTGCGTCATTTGAGCATGTTTGAGGCTGGAAGAGGGAGGGGTGAGAGGGGGAGGGCCCACAGGAGGACAGGTGCTTAAATATGGGACAGGTGAGGTACACCGTACAGCAGATCCTGGAGCCGCGGTTCGCTAGATTCTCATCTGACCGGTCGCCAACAGGTAAGCTCCTCTTATCTCTCCTCACCGTGCTTTGTCCGTGCTGCATCTTTACTGTAGGAAAATGAAACCAACAATTGTAACTGCTGTATTAGTTTCACTCTGCTGCTCGTCCTCAGATGTATTCATACCCTGAGATTAAAGAAAAGGCAAAATTCACAACAGTCACTCAGATTACTAGAAACTGAAAAAAGTAGTAATAAACTAAAATTTGTTAAATTATAATTTAGTGAAATAAGATGTTGCTTTTGAATTGTGGTTGAAAAGAATAATTTAAAAAAACAAAACTGTCCCGGACCAATGAGAGGCCTTTGCTGACGAGCAGTGGTCCAGAACACCTGTCAACAGGTGCAGAAGTCTGACTGAGAGTTACAGGAAACACCTGATGGCAGTGATTGGCTCAAAGGGTTGTTCAGCTAAATGTTAGTTTATGGGTCCCATCATGCTGGTTTTAAAAAATATTTCTGTTGAACCACAATTCAAAAGCAACGTCATGATGTTCATTGAATTTTTATTTATTCTTACTTTTGTCAATTTCAACTTATTTCAGTGACATTTTCCATCTTTAAGTGGAGGCTATGAATACATCTGACCGTAGCTTCAGGTTCAGTGCAGTAGAACTAAAACACTAAAGACCAGGTAAGCAATGCTGTTCTAAAATAAGTATTACAATTTATTTTAGGGAGATGGAAAAACAACTCAGAACTTCTGCCTGAAAGTGTCTCCTCATTCCAGTCACCCTGTATGGTACCATCTGAACAACCATTTTATTTAAACAAGTTGGATCAGTGTTTATTCATTGCTGCTGATGAACTATATATCATATATGTCTAATACACCTGTATATATCATATACAGATGACACAGATTAGACCACCTGCCTAATCTGTTAGGCACTGTGTAGACCATCCAGCATCATGAAGTGTTTTAATTCGAATTCAGCTCTCCACGTTTTACCGTTTTGAACAGGAATGAGGAATTTCAAATTGAATTCATCTTTTTATGCCGAAATCTGAGCCACTGGGCTTCTCTGGGAAATTAATCAAGCATCTCATTCAACCATTAAGACTCTTCTTTCTGTTCAGGAATGCGAGTAAATAACCATAACCTAACGTCTGAATCCAGAAATACTGATGTGCTTTACTAGTTTTTCATGTTTTTTTTTAGTAAAACAGTAAATTTTTAAAATTCATGGATGACAATAATAATTATATTTTGGCATAAAAAACAAGATTCTGGTTAAAGATCTTCTACATACTGGTGCATTAACCATCGCAGACACATGATGAATGATGTTGGTTATTACCAATTCTGTTCATTTAGGGCAGCTGTGGCATAAACCTGACACTTGGGGGTGGTCTCATAAACTGTAAATATATTTATATATATGTGTGTAGCTTAACTTTAAACAACTCAATACGTTAATAATTGTTAATGCATAAAAGAAGATCCTGGTTGTATGAAAGCACCTAATCAGCCATCTCCTGGTCAGACCCACTGGACAGCGTCGGTCAGCGCTTCATGAAGGAATGAGGACGAGCATAATGTCAGACTGTTCTCTGATCAGCTCAAGCATTAAAAAAGATTCTGTGACTTGTTCTGACCCGTTTCTATCCGCTGCTCCTTCCCTTCAGCCTCTAGGATGGTCAAAGCAGTGTTGTCTGTGTTCCTGGTTCTGGTGGGCCTGTCCTCCATCTTCGCCAAATACATCCCGAAGACCGGCAAGAGGATCCCTCAGACTCTGTCCAGAGGTTTGTGACGATCACTTCTGTCTCAGTGTGTGGTGTGACAAACACGGAGATGAAGCAGAGTCTTGATGTGAATGTGTGTTCAGGGTGGGGCGACCAGCTGATCTGGGCTCAGACGTACGAGGAGGGTCTCTACTGGTCCAGGTCGAGGTGAGAAATAGTTCAGAACATTTGGTTGACATTCACTGAGGATAAGGATGAAGTGAGTGAAGCTGTTGTGTGTTTCAGGAACAAGCCTCTGATGGTCCTGTTCCACCTGGAGGACTGCCCTCACAGCCAGGGTGAGTCGCTCCCAGGAAACTATCTGCTGGTGTTTGAGCTACTCATGCAAAGAGAAAACATATTCGCTGAATTATGAGCCAAACCTATTTGAAGAGGGATCAGGCGTTTGTTTGTCGGTGTGTGATGTCACATCCTGGTGCTGTGATGCACAGACTCAGGTGTAATTAACGTCTCGCTTCTCCTGCAGCTCTGAAGAAGGTCTTCTCTGAGGACAACGAGATCCAGAGAACTCTTGACGAGGACTTCATCGTTCTGAATCTGGTGGTAAGTCCCAGGACATTTCAGATCATATCACCTCGCTAGAAAGAATGTTTTAAAGGTGCTAAAATCTGCATCTGTTATGTAGTCTCAACAATAAAAGCTAGAAAAAACAAAAAGTTGTCGATCTGACGTAGAGCTCTGATCATTTTACTGTTCAGTGTTAAAGCACACGTGGTTTCAAAGATGCTTAGATGTTATTTACCAACAGTTTAACGCCATACAGACGTACAGTCGTCATCAGATGTGTTCATACCCTCCCAATAAAGAAGGAAACAAACAACTTCAGGCACTGAAATAAGTTGAAATTGACAAAAGTAATAATAAATAAAAATTCAATGAACATCATGGTGTTGCTTTTGAATTTTGGTTCAACAGAAATATTAAAAAACCAGCATGATGGGACCCATAAACTAACATTTAGCTGAACAACCCTTTGAGCCAATCACTGCCATCAGGTGTTTCCTGTAACTTTCAGTCAGACTTCTGCACCTGTTGACAGGTGTTCTGGACCACTGCTCATCAGCAAAGGCCTCTCATTGGTCCACTGCTCATCAGCAAAGGCCTCTCATTGGTCCACTGCTCATCAGCAAAGGCCTCTCATTGGTCAGTTGTTGTTTTTTTTTCTAAATTATTATTTTCAACCACAATCAAAAGCAACATCTTTTTTCACTAAATTCTAATTTAGCAATTTTTTATTTATTATTACCTTTTCCAGTTTCTACTTATTTGAGCGACTGTTGTGAATTTTGCCTTTTCTTTAATGGAAGGAGACGACTGTACATCCATCCATACAGAGTGACTTCTTACAGTCAGTGGACAGAGTTTAGACAAAAACTACCAAATAAACAAACCTCTCATGTCACATTAATCAGGAAGGCTTCTGCTTTTGGAACATATTGATAGAAATGGTGCTAAGTTGGTGAAGAGGGGCTCTAAGATGTGATGCTTGTTGTTGCTTTTGTGGCCCTGCAGTATGAAACCACAGACAAACATCTGTCCCCTGATGGCCAGTACGTTCCCAGGATCCTGTTTGTTGGTGAGAGCTTCATTTTGTGACACCTTTCATACATGCCAGCTTCAATGTGTGTATGTGTATAGATTGTGTTTATTGACCCACATGTATGGCAAATGGACGTCAGAGTGTAGCTGCAAATAAACAAACAGAACGACTTACACGTCCCATGTCAGCTACTCAGCTGTTGACCTCGGTGCCAGTATGCTCACCATCCAGGTTTAATAGACATGCAGTAGATGCAGCTGTCTTCACCCACCTACTGGTTTCTCCACAGACCCCTCGATGACAGTGAGGGCTGACATCAACGGGCGCTACTCCAACCGCTTGTACGCCTACGAACCAAGTGACATCAAAGTCTGTAAGTGCTGCAGCTGACACACCAGGAGGTTCACGTGTACATTGTGCACCAGCTGTGTCTGCCTATGCAGTTAGAATTGGTGCTATATAGATAAACCTGTACTGAAGCTGAATGCGTCCTGTCCACCCACAGTGTTGAGTAACATGCAGAAGGCCAAGAAGCTCCTGAAGTCTGAGTTGTGAGCGCCGCGACGAGCTGCCGGTCCACAGTTTGCTGTCACCACAGAGAACATGATGTCACGCTGAAGACGAAGCTCCTCGCCTTCACCTGAAGCAGCTCCTCTCTGAAACCCCGTCCTGATCTGTATCTCTGTTGTTATTCCTGTACAATCACAGCTTCTTTTGAATAAATATCTCTTCATACAAATGAGACGGACAGTCTGCAGTTTTATTTGATTACAGAGCAATATTAAACTTAAAAGAAGGTCTGAGAGAAAGATGAGAAACGTTACTGCTGACTGCTGTTGGTGCTGAACCAACATTCTGCTTCAAGGAAATGAAGGAAGTAACTGTGAGCTTCAGCTTCAGGAGGAAGTGAGGCCTGCAGAGATATGAGAAGATTTAACTGCCACAGTAGACAATATGTGAGTCTAGACCAGGGATCTCCAACTCCGGTCCTCGTGAGCTACTGTCCTGCAGGTTTTAGACATTTCCAACACACCTGACTCACATGAATGGATCACCAGCAGCTCGTTGTCAAGTTCTACACAAGTCTTTTAATGATCGATTAATGTGAGTCAGGTGTGTTGCAGAAACGTCTAAAACCTGCAGGACAGCAACTCATTAGGACCGGAGCTGGAGATCCCTCGTCTAGCACCTTTCAGCACCAGAGTCCTGCGGTGAGAGCGGGGATGAGGGGAGTGGAGGAGGAGGAGGTTGGGGTGGGGATAGGATGGAGAAGAGACAAACAATACAACAGAACAATGTACAGTCTAGAGGTCGGTGAGGCTAGAGACCAGCAGCAGCCCCTCTGAGGGAGCGCAGTGACAGCCACTCGCCTGTCGGTGGTGTGTATTCATGTTTACTGCCCTTAATCAGAACCAGAATCTCTTTATTGTCATCTTACAAGGAAGCATAAGGAAGTTTGAGTTAGCAGCTCTGGTAGGCAGAACATCAGGACAAACGTGCACAAGACAGAGTGTTAAAATTTGAAAAAGACAGTAAAATAAAATAAAAATAAGAAAAAACAACCGGGATATTGCGTTCAATAAGTTATTGTACTAGGAGTATGAACAGAGATTTTTCTATTTTACATTGAAGAATGATTAACGGGAATTTGCGGTGTTCAGGGCAACAACAGCTCTTGGGTAGAAACTGTCTTTATTACCTTGAAACGCCTCCCTGAGGAGTTCGAAGAGGAGGTGGCCGGGGTGTGAGGATCCTGATGAGGCTTTGATAAGAACTTACCAATAGTCTGTAGCAGCCTGGTGGTAAAGAAAATAAAAATATAAAAGTATAGCAGCATAACAGAATTTTAAAAAGTTTAACAGAATTTGCACCCCCCAGTAAACCTGTCCCTGTTGGTGTCAGTATTTCTACGTTACCATGTTCAGACCGTTAAATGTTACTGTTAGACCTCTTTTTATTTTCATTTTCTTTATCCACAGGCTGCTACAGACTGTTGGTAAGTTCTTAAACATGAATACACGCCACCTACAGGCCAGTGGCTGTCACTGCGCTCCTTCAGAGGGGCTGCTTTTCACGACACAACACTTGTTGGAAACGCCCCCGTGGACACATACCTGCCACAGAGCTGAACAAACCTCCACCAGGACACATTCACCTAGAAACAGACACAACCACCACAGAGGATGGATGCTCCGCAGAAAGGAGATCTGTCTGCAGCTGAGAGAAAGGTTCTGCAGGTTATCGCTGCTGGTATGTAGTCTGCTGCCTTCTGTTAGTACAAACCTCCTGCTGTGGTTATTGTGCTCATAGTTTTGTTTTATTATCATAGACCTCACCATGTAAACGTATACGTACAACATCAGCTTGTTCTGCAATATATATGATATGGTAATGAAAAAAATATTTAACTTTTTATATAAAACAGATAACTCCAGATTAGTAGATTTTCAGAAAACTTATTTTTTGGTTGTTTGCTTGAGATAAAATCAATGAAACTGAAGCTGAGTGGATTTGACTCAGTAGAAATGACAACAACAGAGAAAACTGATTGGTGTTGTCTCAGGTAGAAGATGGACCAGTGGGTTTCCTGGAGGTTTGTGAAGATGGAGTTATCTGTTTCTGCAAATGAACTCTATGAACTTTATTTTATTGTGACTGTAATATTGTGTGCCCACAGTGCATCAGAAATAGATGGATGGTGTTGGGAGTCCTCCTCCTAGACGTAGTTGATCCTCCAGCTTATTGAATAACTAGAACCTGGACAGTCTTGAGTCGGGTCACAGCAGTTCATGCAGGATTGGATCTGGATCTTTAGACGAGCACTTGAACACACACGTTCCCTGAAAAGACAAAAACAATCACTTTTTTTTTTCTGTGGAAAAAATGTGTTCTCGCAAAATGTGTGTCAGGATTAGGATATGATAGATTTGTTTTCATTTATACACCCCATCACAATTTCTGCCAACCACACACACACACAAATAACAATAATAATAATCATCATTGGTGATACGTTTGTCTTGCAGGTGATGTCCAGGAAGCTGCCCAGCTGCTCGCCAGCAAAGAAGTTCGAGTCAACTGTTTAGATGAGGTATGGAAATAGAAAGAGCTGATGGGTGCAGTGATGCTGTAATGTCCTACACACACACACACACACACACACACACACACACACACACACACACCACTGTGCCATATGTTATCCATTGTGATGGAAACATATGGAGGCGACTGTTGAGAGGCAGACGCAGTCCTCAGAGGTGTTGGATAATAGCATGGAGCCACTACATGAGCCTCAGAGGCTGCTTTAGACGCTGGTCTGTCACAATCAGGTGACGGAGCTTCACATCGCAGCACCATTACCCACAACACACACAGTAAACACAGGAAGTGTTCTTATTATGGTATGTTGTAACCTTCATTTAGTTTTTTACACACACTCAGATTCAACTTAAAATCACTGACGTATTTAGCAAACCCAAGAAATGTTGGAGAAGTTTGATTAAATATTTGGTAAAATAGAAAATGCCGTTCACACAGTGCCAATTACAGAAAAACATTGAATGTCACTGGAGATTCTTTAAATCTGAACAACATCTGAAACGTGATTATATAGAATCCAAAAAATATATGTGTTGATTTTGGTAGCAGGGCTGTACGG